TGCGGGGGGGAGAACTTGAAGGTGAGGAGACGAGACGGATAATGATCAATGCACCCACCACTAAAGGCAAGCAAACGAGGAACGAGAGACGACATGTTCCCTTTGGGCGCTTGAGATCCCTGCTATGAGATATTCGGCCCCAACAACTCGTATTCATCGGTCCCTGAACATTAACAGTTCCCATAACCAGCCCGCGAACCAGCCCCTACTTGCTTCCCGCCTTCGCCTGGCCTTGTACGGCGTATCTGATTCTGACAGACGAGTATCCGTAGATCGGGCAAGACGAGACACTGACGGTAGATCCATCGGAAATAGCATCATTGCGGGAGCGTCTCTGGCAGTTTCCATTTGCTAGGATTCTGACGACGTTGGCAAGTCTCAGATTAGCCCGGGCTTTCGACCAGACCAGCTGTCAGTCAGAAGTCTGGTCAAGAGAAGGGGAGAGTCGGAGACAGTAGGATGAGACAGTCTTCGTTCTGCAGCCTGTCAGTGACGACTGCGCAGTCAGTCAGTCCGTCCGTCAGTCTCCAAAATGAACGTCTGCACTCAAGAGCAAAAGACTGGCTCGCCGGCTCCCAGCTGCTCCTCTTCGCGCCTAGCCTCAACCTAGCTCAGGTCCTTTTGCAAACCCACCATAAACCCACCCTGCTGCTCCCTGAGCGAAGGCCCCTGCTAGCCACTCGATGCGATGCAATGCTGCTGCATCTGCCGCGCTACAGGGCAGGGCAGGACAGGGTCGGTCCATGCAAGGACAACGACAACGGCGAGGGCGGAGACGGCGGCCGTGGCCAGGATGATTGGCAGCCCCGGGGGGGGGGGGGGTTCTCCAGGAGTCTAGCTACCAGCCAACCAGCCAGCTTGCGTGCTTCTTCTGCATCCAGAATCTCTTTGGAGTAGGTACTACAGACAGAGAGAGGCGTCTATGAAGAACAACAAGCCTGTGTGCAATTAACTTTCGGCCTGCTGCGGGCAAGGAACAAGGCGCCGCGAGCTAAAAACGACGCGGACAATTGTCGTCAGACGGGGGTGAGGCTGGAACGGTACTTGAAGCTTGGATGAGCGAAACGAGGGACGAGGTCGGTATCTGTGATTTGAAGTGAAACCAAGCAAAGCCCTTTTCGTTTTACACATTCTTAGTGGTCCGAGTAGCGTTGGTCTGGCAGTTCTCTGCGATCCAAAGAACAAGAAAAGATGAAGGTAGGTTCAAGGTTCAATGTTTGGACGAACTGGCGGCTGCTGCTCCTCCTCCATCGATCAACCCAACCAATGACATGGCCAAGCAGCATCTGCCAATGGAAGCCGCGTCTTGGTAGCTGGGCAATCCCGTATGGACTGTCTTCGTAGCGTAGTAGCTTAGGTTAGGTTAGATGACTAGGCGGCCCAGTCAACAGCCGATAGGCTCATGGGGTCGAGACTCTTGTCTGAGATAATGACTCTCGAAAGATTGCGGCGACAAGAGAAGTCGAGCAAAGGTTCATTGAGGTCCATGAACAGCGAGACATGGACGCTCAATGTGAGCAGAAGAGCGGATCGCATGTGACAGAAACAGCCACGGAGATGAATGCTATGATGCTTGTCACTGCTGTTGTTGCCGAGCCGTGTCTGTTTTCGGTCGCCAGTCTCCTCTCTATCTGTCTTCATACGGACAGAGGATGCACCTGAAGTGAGGGCGAGGCATATGAGATGGAGTGAGCGGGTGAGGCGTGCGGCGCCTGAGTCTAAGGCGAAAGCTACAAGTGAGCCTCTGTCGGCCGCCGCTGTCGGTACATAGTCTTGACGGGGAGTCCTGCGGCAAGTGGCAGGTATCTAACGGCAAAGTGCTTTGTAACTCAATCTCACCCGTGTTCCGTGTTCCTCGGTACGCATTCCCTCGAACCGAGCTGGCCAGGATGATGACGGGGTGGTTCATCGGTCATCTTGGAACCCACCCGCTCAACACTGACCACCTGGCGACTTTGTGACTTGTTAACAGCGCGAGGGCGTGGGACTCGTGGGAGTCAGGACAGGGCAGCGAGAGTCAAGTGTGAGGGTGAAGCGACATGTCAGAGAGCTTCGGACATGGACGACGGGTAAACCCCCGCGCCCCACGACGGAGCAATTCTGGTCCATAGTGACCCATGGCCAGCTTTTTGATGGAGATTTCCTGTTCCTGTTCTTGTTCCCGTTCCAGCATCTGTTCCTGATTTCCAAGCAGATGCAAGACGCCCGTGCCCATAGAGTGCCAGTGCGACAGGTATGTACCGCGGTAGAGACTTGTCAATGACCGGATTTGGTATGTTGGACATGGTGATGGTCGTGGTGGTGGGTGGTTATGGTGATTGATGGGTCTTATTTGGTGGAGTGAGCGATGCAGTTCGCATGTGTCTAATATCCGTGGCATACGGGTCTGGTGTATCCGTACTTTGAATCCATATCCAATATCATCGGCGGTTGTTTCGAGCGAAAGAGATTTTGTTATCTTTAGCCCAGCAACCCTGTCTGCCGATGCGCTCATTCCGGCCTACTGTAAGGTAGAGGCGCGTATGGAGCATCCCATAATTACTTGGTATCCGTAGCTCAGCCAACATTAGAGAGCCGAATGGATCGTAGCCACAGGTGATGAAAGGGTACAGTTTTGTGACACCTGAAGAGAGCAGCGCACATGTATCCGTTCGTACCCATATTCCGAGTCTGTCTTGGTTGGCATGGGCTCTTAAACGCGGTAGCCGTTGGATAATTCAAAGTCTGGCTCAGGTGTCAAGTGATGAAAAGGCTTGTCGTTGTTGTGCGGTGAAGCCTATCGAGTACCTACATACAGATACACATAAGTAATAAACTAGAGGAAGCAGCCCCATGCCGGATTGGCTGGATGCGTGTTAGACGCAAGGCAAGGTGAGGGAGGTGAGTTGGGTAAGTTGGGTCGGGTTGGATCGAGGTCTGCGAGATGTGGAGAGGGGGAAGGGGGAGGGGGGAGAGGACGGGCGGGATGCAGGAGTCCTTTTCCCGCCCGCACTGGAGAAATCTACGGATACACACCGGTACTCGAGGGAACGACAGCCGAGCAAAGATCTTAACGTTTACCTTACCTTCCAATTAGCTAATAGGAACTTTGAGGGCACACTTGCGTTTGTTCTGGTAGCGAGTGGCATCAAACGTCCATCGTCTAATGTCCTGTGTCAATGTTTAACATCCAAACTCCGAGGAACCTTTCCCCTTCTCTCCTTGATACACATCACAACACCTCACGACGCAACTCGACACACTTTTCCCCAGCGTAACACTTCGGAAGAAGCATCTCATCACACCGGATCACCCTCACTTCCATCCCCAGTCCTTCCGGCCAGGGCCCTTTCCTCTAGAATGCTACAGAAGCACAGGCTATGATGGACTATGGATTCATGGAAGCCTTGGCCTGCTTGTTGGGCTTGTTGCCTTCTGGACTAGCTGCGCCGTGGCGCCTCTGCCCAGGAGCAACAGAGTGTGCCATTGCAGGATAGGTGCAGGGCATCGCATCCTCTACGCCGTGCAACAGAACGGGCGGCGCTTTTGCTAGACCTTCCATGCAGACTTCGACGCGCCTTCTGCCATCCGGCCAGTCTGCTCAGAGGCCAACCACTTTCACGAGATGTGACTTGCAGGTCAGGCGCGAGCAAGTGCTTGTGAGAAGGGGGAAGGCCCAAGGGGGGGGAGTAAGAGAAGGAGGAGGGGGGGATGAAGCATGCATACGAAAGGATGGCGTTCTCTCCAGGCACACACTCAATCTCACCCACACACTCTCACTCTCACCCTCACAGGCTCACCCACACCTTTCCATCGTTATCGTCAGTACCTGCCTTCTGCCTTTCTTATCCATCGGTGGCCGACGGCTTCCTTCGGTAACTCGAGGCAATGGAAAAGAGGAAGAAGGAAAGGAAAGGATGAGAAGTGAGAAAGAGGGGAGGGGGGCAGCGGGCGTCGAGCGTTCTGGAAGCTTTGCAAAGAACCTCACAATCCGATTCTACAGTACCATCTCGAACCTCACATCTCGTCACCGGGATCCGAGCCTCCTCTGTCTCTCTCACCTCACCTCGAACTCAACGTCGTTTAGCGCTCTTGGTCAAGCGGTACATGCTACCCACACTTTTCATCACACTTAGTAATGGGTTACTGCACGTCTCTGAACCGCCATCCCGACTGCCGAGACTGGTCGTAGAGACCGTCGCAACGCAGAAAGTCCACCTAGCTGCTTTGGCCTCAACTGTCGCCGCCGTCCCATGAACCCCTCGTCAACCTCGCTTGCGCCGCTGATGACATTTTGCACCTTCAACTCACTTTAGCTATCCGTACAGCCTACCAATATCATGCGACATCAACACCGCAAACACACATTCGCGGTAGTGTGACTGAAATCAGCAGCAATAGTCCGTCCTAGTATTATTGCCCTTCCGCCAGGCCCTAGGCCTGCCTGCCCGACACGATGCGGATGTATCGATCTCTCCGATGCTGGTTGACACAATTCCCCTTCTTCCGGACCTGACGGCCTTGGCTTTTTGGCCTGCCTGATTCCTTGATCACAGCATGCCAAAGGCGCCTAGGATCCAGTTGTCCAAGTACAGATACCTCCTCGCCGGTTCTTCGTGTCTCAAATCTTGCAGGAGTAGCGCCGCTGTCACGGTCCCAGGGACGTCCGTCCACTTTGACACCCCGGGCTTCACCTCAGGATACCCAGGACCTAACAACTAATGCTGGCTGACGTTGCGTTGGTCCAGATGACAAACGTCCGCACTGACACCGCACGCCCCCATAGCCTTAGCTCGCTTCGCCCGCGAGAGCCAGGTGCACCGGTTCGCGCTCTTTTCGGAATCCAACCTCGTCAAGAACAACCCTTGAAGGATCAATATCAACGCAGCCCTGAGAAATTGAGAAACCAACAGCAGGATCCTATCAGCCAGCCTTGAGTGCGGCAGAGCGACGGGATCGCCATCGTGGGGCTAGCCGGAGGTCGCCCCAGCTCTTTGCTCAACGTCGGCCGTCTCCATCCATCACATGCTTTCCCCTATTTGCGAGTCTCGGCCGTTCCCTTCTCCATCTCTGCTATTTTGATAGTATCCAATCCGCGCCCCGAGGTTGTCCTCAGAGCCCACTTCGGACCCGACCGACACCTCCTGCGTCCCTGCGACCCCTAACCACCGACATTGATCAACACTATAGGCCTTGAATGCCATTAACCCTTGTCCCTGGGAGCCCGGAAGGGTAAAATAAAGGGTTTTGCCCAAGTTGATTTGATTTGAGCACAGAGTGGTTTACAGGTTCCGGAGAATTGGCAGAATACGGCTTCAGCCACGCTTAAACTTGGCTAGAGGAAGCCCCCAACGCAACCTAAGTGACTCGAGAGAAGCGTTTGCAGAGCAATAAATCATTGCAGCCAAGAAAGGCATATTCACGACCCTCCGTGAAGCTGCAGCCCGCGATTCATGACGATGCCTGCTGCGGCTTGCCCCTGAGAGCTGAGACTTGGTCTACTCTGCGGGTATTGATACTGAGCACTTCAAAGTGCCCATGCACAGAATATTGGCTTCACAAACAAGTTCCAAGAACAGCAGGTTGGCAAAGAGTCTCCTTCTCAGAAAGGACAATGAGAAGATCAACCCCCATGGTTTTGCATTGCCGTTCTGACTCCCGCTTGCCCAACTACCGCAAGACTGGGGCTACGCGAGACGGCATGTCGGGAGAAGCGCGTCCAGGAGTCTGGTTGACGTGCATTCGACAACCATCGTGAGACATGTCATTGCTACATGGTCCCAACCCACGCCGATGACGAGACGGTGCAGCAGAAGCGCGGACGATGCCTAGAAGGGCAGTTCAAACTTGGACCACTTCATCTTCCGTATCTCTGATATCGTATCCAGAGAGCAGAGAACCATCGCACATGGTTTGGCTTCTTCTTGATGTCACCCAAGAGGGCGACGTCGTCAAGAGAAGTTCGCCAGCTTCCTCTCCTGCTGCACTCTAAACTCAGAGAAGCAGCCTCTAGCAGTCGCAGGTACGGATAGCACCAACCCTATTCCAGAACAGTCTGAACAGAGCAACGATACACTTCCCGCCTAGCGCGAAGGATGCAGTTCGGAGCGCTAGAAGGACCGAGGAAGCATGCAGAGAAGCTCTCCAAACGCCATTTCACACAGTCAGGGGGGTGGTCTAAGCCTCACTCGATGCAAAAAGTCCTCAAGCCAGCCGTTAGCGCGGTGACCGGCTCATCCCCCCGTCGGCGAGTTAAAATCGACTTTGCCGTCTCCAAGTGTGCGCCTCCCGTCATCCGTCATCCGTCAACCGTTAAACCGTTCGTTCGTTCACCGCAACGCGCGAACTGCTCCGGCCAAAAACAGCCAACCATAGGTAACCAGTTGAAAGAAGGATCCTGTTCAAGCCCGCCTCGCTGCCGTCATCTGCTTCCTTTTCGCTCAATGTGTCCCCCCACCCCCAATGTTCGGTCTCGGGACGTGTGGCTTGTCTCCGTATCTGCTTGGTCAACGATTGGTTTGCGTTCCTCTACCTAGCGATTAGGTAGTGCTGTGGGCGCCGCCGTTCGTTCGTGCAGAGAACCGTTCGTCCTACATGGTCAACTTCCACCCAACCATCACTCCTTCAGCACCCCTGATGCCAGCTTAACTCTATCAGGCTCGAGCAATGTGATTGGATGCGGGTTGTTACGACCGCCAACACCATCTCCCGAGACACTCACACACATCATGCCGGTTTTGTGGACGACGTCTAGGTTGGCGGCCATGGGCAGACTTCTCTTCCGTATGGTACCGGAGCAACATGATGCGGTTTGTCAACACTGGCGGTTTGACCATTGGTGCCCAAATCAAAGCTGTTTACTGGGTGGCAGGGTCAGGGTCAGGAAGGCCTCTCTACGGAGTGGACTATGGACTCTGGACGCTACACCGCACGCTGTTGTCGCTGTTTCTCAAGTGAGAGTGAGCCCACCGCCACTTCATCAATACCCTAGAACCTGCCCCTCGATTCCACGCTAGGCCAGCCGGTGAAGGTGAGAGTACTCCGTAGAGGGGTGACCCCCAACCATCTCCGCCTGGGACTGATCGTTCTCTCTCCATTTCTATCGGGATTGACATTAAGGCGCTTGTCAGGGCTCCATGAATGGTCTGGTGCAGGATGAGCACGCATACACCACGTACCTACATCACTCTTCTCTAAAGCTTGATCAGATCATTGTGCAGGCGGCCACGCATCACTCAACCGTTCCTGCTCAAGAAAGCACCTGGGACGTCATCGTACCCCTTCGACAACAGCGTGAGTCTGGCCTTTTGATGATGACATGCCCATACCGATCCATCATCCCGCGCCGCCGCTGTTGTGGAAAATGGGTGGTCTGCCAGCTGGCTCTGGCTCTGGCTCAAGAACCCCTGCTTCATATCAATCCTGGTCGGTCGAGCCGCCAATTGCTTTTCTCTCCTCTTGAGCATCGAAATCTTACCAGACTTTTTCCACCGACTGGTTCTGGCATGAGCTAAAGCGCCTGCCGCGATCCCTGCTCGGAAATTTGCTTCAGCACTGACAACGGCGGCTGTTTGGCAAGGTCGCTTCGATGTCCGGTGTGTTCAGAAGCCCCAGTCAATGTCGGGTTTACCCCTAGTCTTATCCTCGGGGCTCTTTCGGAGCATGGATGTGTTTATGTAGCGTACAGCTGCGAAAAAGAAGGAAACATGGAAAAGATTCTGGCAAACTGGATTCCGTAAGCTCATACCAGTCCCCGCGTTCCCCTTCTTCCTTGCTCTCCTTACGCTCTGTCAGTGTCTAGATGTCATGATCATCCCCCATCGGTGTCTACTCATCACCTCTCGTCGAATCGGCTCGCCTCACGCCTCGGACCTTGAACGATTTGCCGCTATCTTATTGGCGTTGCAACGTTGCAATCATCATCTTAACAGAGACAAGCGTGGTCCCTGGGACTAGCGAATGACAAGCGCCAACGACCGCCTCCAATAGCATCCATCAGAGACCGTGGGGTGGAGTAGACTTCATAAAGAGAACGCCGTCGTTCAACCTCCAGTGTTTGCAACTCTATCGGTAAGGAAAGTTGTGGAGGGTTCGGAAGGCAATAGCCTGACTCTTCCTCAGGCCGATATGTCGGGTATCCGATTCGAGCCCACTGGTGGCAATCATCAGGCCTTTATTTTAGTCTATACTAATCGGTCCTGATGCAGTGGCCTGCTCGTAACGACGAACGGCACAATTACGATTACGCAGCCGCAGCCTCGTCTGTCGTTTGATGCCTGGCCGATCTGGACTATCGGTTCCTGTGCAAGTAGAACGCGGTCTACTGAGCCGCGGCAACCTTATGAGTGTACATCAGGCTATTTCGAGCTTGTTGATCACTCGGCCCAAGGAAGTATGCTCAAGGCTATCGCTACACTTCTGGAATACTGTAGGCTGCCTGTCCCTGGCAAGTAACTGAGATACTGCGAAGCCACTTCATCGTAGAGGCGACTCCGGCCGGGGGCTGAGTTGAACGCACACTGCCCTTACGTTCTAACACATAGGAAGGATCTTCTTACCGCCGCTCACTCACATGTCTAGGGATCCGTATATGCCTCTCTTTTCAAGGGTTCGCCAGGCGGGACTATGAAGATCGGGGGTCTGGGCCAAACAGTCAAGGCAAGTTAAGCTCGTCGCGTGCCCTTCAGTTCGTCTCGTGCAACTTTCTTTCCCCGCAAATTGGATCGGGGTGGCATTCCGTGGCCATTGCTTTCCCTTGCCCCAGCATCAAGCTAGTCTTGCACGATTACCGACAGTGAGGTCGTTGACAGGACGCCATGACTAAAGATGGACCTCGAATTTGCTAATGCCAATGTCACGCGTGCCAAATGACCCCTTCCTTCACAGCATACGCGGAGACAACCAGATCAGCGGAGGCGGGAAGGCGGTCTTTTGCCATTCAAGCATCTTCGACCGTTGGGCAATTTGCATGTACGGAGTATCGATGTAAGGCCAAGGGAAGGGGGTGGTTCTGCGGACGAGGCCCTTAATGCGGGTTCGTTGACCGTTGTTTTCCCCGCATCCAACTCACCTTCAACACGCCGGCATGAACGAGTTAGCCTCACGGTCGTTTCCATGGACGATGTCGACGTCAAAGGGCTAGCCGGCACGCTATCTCGAGTCCCTTTTCTTGGCGGTTTGCCGACCGCGGCTTTCGCTTCGTTCAAGATTAGAGGGGGGAGGATCTCATCGGGAGTGGTCGGGGGCCCTTGGTTTTCCTCGCTTCCTTGCCTGCTCTTTCGCCTTTCGAGGCAATGTGCTGTTGTTCACACCACAGGTCACTCCTTGCCAGGTCCCATCATGTGGCGTTTCACACGTACTCGAAAATGAAGATCGTGGCTGGGCCCCCAGAGAGGTCGACTGCGGCAGTATCCCCGAGGTAGGTGTGTTGTACGTGTGAACAAAAGTGTGTGCCTTGCGTTCCCTCTTTTCCAGGAACCGTATGCGAGGAATTCAAGCGCCTCTCTGCCGGCGGCCGTACCCTGCCTACCTAATCACCTCTCATCCCACTTCGATGTGCCTTCTTTACCTTGGGCAACAGCTTGTGTCAGTGAGAGAGAGAGATACGTCAGTCGCAGGAAACCTGAAGTGTGAAGTTGCTACGCAGTACACTAGACTGGCCAGCCTTTTCCCTAATTACGCAGTAGACCTCTCTGCCCCCACACACCCCAAGTCCTCGAGCTATTTGCCTGATTTGGATCCGATGGAGAAGTAGGAACCAGGACCATGCGGGGGTGGTTCTTCTTGCTGCGACTGCGAGGAGTGTGTGTGGTGGTGCGGCCACGACCCCCCGCTTGGCTTCCACAAAAGTTCCCAGCCCGGCTGCCGCAGGCCCGCATCGGCACAGGGGTGCGGCGCGCGAGGGGGAATGGGACGCACATCATGTACGCTCGGGTGTAGTGGGCATTTGTTGTGCTTGTTCTTGCAAGCTATGGCTCTCCGCAGACGTCTACCCGTACTTGTGATACGCAGTAAAGAAAGGAACCTACCATGAGCAAGCATCCCACAGGACCCTTTTTCCGGGTCTTCCTGTCAGGTTACTTGTCAGGAGGCTGTTTTTACGAAATTCGGACGGCGTCAACTTGTCACGCAGGCTAAAGGTGATGAGGTTCTTTTGTTTACCCCTCGGACGTTTCTCGCTTGGGTAGACTTTCCCAGTCTCGTCTCTTCTTCTCCGACTTTACTGCGAAAAAGAGCTGGGTCATGTCTCGATGCTTGTCATAGAGAAGTAGAGACAGAGAATGAACTCCATGTATGCAACCCTACCCGGCGATGCTCTACTTGCTTCGACCCAATGAGATGAAGTTGGGAAAGAAGGGGTGGTGGTGGTCTAGCCTTCTGAACCCTTTTTCCCTTTCCCACCACTGGGCTCTGGGCGGCGACTACAGCAAAGCGTGACCTCCCTCGAGATCTACCTAAGCTTCGCTGAAGATGGTGAGAGATTCTCGGTCTCTGACGCGGACGACTCTTGCTTGCGCATTTGTGGGCATCCCATTCATATCAGAAGTCACGCCTCTCCCCTCCCTCCACCACCTCGAGATGTGCGTCCTCCCCAGGAGGAAAATCGATTCGCTGATCCGCGACATCGGACGACGTTTCTTGCCATCTGTGGGTAGTGGTAGTGCTCCATCGCCACACCTTCTTTCGAGGTCCAAATTGTAATCAGAAATTCTAGACCTTTCTCTCTCTGTGTGTGTTGTGTCCATCAGATATCGATGTCTAGACCTCGAGACCAGCCCCAGGATCTTTTTTTCGCCCCTCCTCTCTCCGTAGCCGTTGCCGGCCCGCAAACGGGGCTCGGGTGCTTCACAATGGCACGCAAGATCGCCGCCCCCCTAATAACAATAATGGCTTCACTGTTGTTGTGGTTTTGGGGTTCATCACCCGATCTTGGATGGATCCAGATAGACCTCAAAGTGAAGCGGCAATTGCATGTTACTGGTACTACTGTACCTCTGTAGGTTCCATGTCTTGGCTGCAACTGTCAACTTTCACAAGCATGAAGAATTACAAAAAAACAAGCAGTGGCAGTACCGGCCGGAGTGGACCAAGCTCCTGGTGAAAGTCCCGCCTGGTGTTACCGCACATGTCGAGAAGGAATGAGGATATCCAATAATACGGATATGCATGGGAAAGCCAAGTCGGCGGCTCTGGAATTAGTGTTCTCGTGTTGCTCTTGGTCATTGTTGATAGAATTACGAGTGAAGAGAAAATTCTGTGACTTCCGCAATCCTCTCTTTGAATGGCGTTATACAGCACTAACCAAAATACCCTCTTCCTTCTTATTTTACTTTGCTTCCTTTCTCATTACATCTTCCCCCTTCCCCTGCTCGTCAAAAGTTCGTTCGTCCCGCTTCGCGCCATTGCCTGGGCATTTTTCACGTTTGTTGCCTCCCACCGTCTCCCGAGCCTTGCCTTTGCATCTGTAGGTCCGAGGCGAATCTGGCGTTACAGTGACACGGCAGGCAAGATGAAGCAAAAGAAGAAGTAGGAAAAGAAAGGACGACATGGCCAACCTAGTTTCTATTACTTGATCGTCTCCGGCACTTGGGGGCGTGTGCTCTTCAAGCGAGAAGCATTGGGCACCTGGGCACGCGATGAAGTCCCATAACTTCACCGGTACTATGGAGTCGAGGATGGGGGTCTTTCTTGACAGGCGCATTGTGCATTTGTGCAATGCCGCAAAAAAAAAAGAGCGCACGACCCAGGGGGCGTGAGCCAGATTACACGATTCTGTGTCTCTCTATGTCTCTGCACGCCCACGAGGGGGCAAATCTTGGCTTTCCCACTGTTTGGTTTGCAGTGGGACGGAGATGAGGCAGTGGTGATGGAGCCTTGTGTGACGGTGAGTCGCGTGCCGTGGGGGGTTTCTGGTTTCATTTGCGTGGCGGCATATGGCAAAATATCTGTTTCTGTCTTCTGGGTTTTGAGAAAGGAGAGATAGTGAGATGAATTGGAAGGTTGAAGCTCTGTTTCGTCGCGGCGGTCTCGCGTACCAACGAGTGTTGTCTTGGGCTTAGTAGGCATCTGTAGCAAATTAAATGCCATGCGTTGGAGATCCCGTTTGCACATGATTACTGATAGTCGTATACGCTTTGTGATTATCTTTAGGCCTTAACTTGATATCTGTACGATATTCGCCCTGGCCATGGCTTATGGTATAGTCCCGATGTTTCCGTGGCTTGATGTATAACGCTTTCTCTGATTCCGATAAAAACTTGAGGCCCCGGATCGTTCATATTAGTTGGGACTATCCTAGTTTGCAAGTACGAAGACAGACGTGTTCCTTATGATCTACTCTGTCTCGGGTCGTCATCCCGTCTCTAATGTAAAGGCCATGATTCATAACTCAGGATGCGGATTAGTTGGAGCTCAGCTCAACCTCTGAAGCTTGATCGTGACTTACTTCTAAGACTAAATTTCCGTATCGAAGTAGACTCTCGATCATTCCCTACACTGCTATTCAATACCGAGTTCGCCTCTCTCTAGTCAACATGGGCTTCCAAGTGTTAAGGAAGGTTTACGAGTGACTTCGCGTCGACATATGGCTCGAGCCTCCACGCTCGTTGTGACCTTGATTTGTAAAGTATCTAACGTTCGGAGTCCTGACCATGGTTCCAATATCGGAGGGACATTTCTCTAGATCAAGCCTAGACATATAGTTTTAAACGGCTTCCGTGAACATGTCAAGGAGCTACGTATCTCAGTAGAGTCTAGTGAAAGTTGTTGCTTCTTGACTTGTAACACTAGGTATAAACAGTCATACGGCTATCCGACTACTTGTAGGGAATGAGCCTGGCTTTATAAAGCCCTAGAGGCAGCCCCATTCTGATACATGTGAGCATAGCCCATCTGCATCCATGCACGGGTTTCAGGTCGCGCCAAAGTCTGGTATATTCCGCCTGCAGAATAACGTCTAGAATGTCGCCCGTAGCTGATGGTTTGTAACTAGGAGACGTTGATTGAAACAATGCGATACAAGACAAGAAACCACTTGGAAGGAATAGTAGGAGAGAGTATGCTCTTAAGTGACAACAATGTACGGTAATAGAGCCTTATACTTGATGGATCATGGGTTCGGGGCTTGACTGGCTGCTTAGATCGATCCTAATTGGATCCAGACTTCAAGGGAACTATCACAGAATAATGGCTCCTTAGAAGCAATTTGGTCTAACTCTGTACCAGCTGACTATTATTTAGTCACTTCAACATGTGTGTGCTTTACAAAGAAACATGGGTTGCGAGACGCAAATATCAGGTCGGACTTTCGTATGGTATCTCTGTCAATGTCCTGGGTCACAAGTGTTGGAGTCTACTTACGCGACGGCTTCTAATTCCCATCTTCCAATCCAACCCTGATCGTTCCGTCTTCTTCAAGGACGACGGTTACTCAAGAGAGACGGCATACAATTTTACGCCGACTAGTGGCTCACTGTTGTACCAGAAGAAGCGCGTTACTTTTACGTGTACTCACCCGTCTAAGACGGCAGTCAAGGTCCCTGAGGACCTTGAGGGTCAACAGAGCTTCCCTCATACCAGCTGTCTCACAAACACAGATTGAGATCGCCCTGATTCACTTGCCATTTTACTCTTTCCATACAACAGCGAATAATCCATTGGAAGAACCAATAACAGAAACGAAGCCCCTCGTGCAAGGCGGCAAAGAATCAGTCACCGAATCCCTTGAGGTTGGAAAATATACCACGAATTGCTATTACTCTGAAAACGACTCCACGAAGTGAAGCGGCAAGAATACCTTTTATTGTCTCCATCGGGTGGGCAACAAATGGCATAGATCTTCCTCGAAAGCGATTCGACGACGACACCTGGGCAGGAGCTACGCGCGAGTCGTCCATCTTGTAGTGACGTTGTTTCCTTCGTGTCGTTTGCATACAACGGAGACTAACTTAGATTAGAGTAGACAGTGTTAAACTGAACATTGCATGCGCCATGATCGTTCAGCTTGGTATCCAGTAGTGCGGCATCTCAGCATTGTGGATGTCTAGGATGGAGATATATAGCGACTAGGTAATCGACAAATCTATCCATTCTTTCGCTTTCTACCGCAATGAGGAGATAAGTGAGATACATATCCCGTCGAGTATGACAGAGACTGTCTTTCTCAAGCCTCGTATAATGGCCAAGAGAAGTACTGCTTTCTCTCCCTCATCAAGTCTGCAGCAGCCAACGCCAACAAGCCATTCAAAGAAGCAGCCATGCAACGCTGGAGAGTCTTTCAACCGGCCTCGAAACCCTGTCTTCTATCAAACTATCACAAAAGTTTGATTCATCCTAAAGATGGTTATGATCACTTGGGGTTTTCATCTCGAATAAGTTTGCGTTGACTATAGCAACTTTCATGGCTGATGTTGACCGGAATCAGTTTCACAAAGTGACGAGGATAGATTTCAAAGAACAGCAAGTATTGGGTGGATTTCAGTCATTCCTAGAATGAGATGAAGAAAGACCCGATGGCTCGACTATTTGGGAATGCGAGGAATCACCTCAGTAATGGTCTAAGGAAAGGCATGTGTATTTCATCGTACGCAAATCCACCATCATATTGCCTATCATAACTCCTAGCCTAAATCTTAAAGGTACAAGACAAAATCTATGGCTCTCGAAGGAATTAGAAGTAATCTTCAGTCAAAAAGCATCATTTAGCCTGTGCATGTCATACTGAAAACATGAGGTGAAGCTATCCAAGCCTACGAATGTCACGTTTTGAGGCCATCCTATGATTGCCACCTCGTCTTCAAACACTGCGCATGCTTCAGACAGACGTGTAACAAAACAAATCACTACAGTGGTTCATATTGTTGATTATCCTCCGTACTATACTAAACCGAAGGGAGTAGGGCGCTTGTCAACTATACTACAAGACCTGTGCGTATGGCTCGGATGTCCCAGACAAAGCACAACATAGCCCTCATAGGTCCGTAGCTAAACGCGCCCTGGGTATCATTCTCTCCTTTTCGCGTTTATTTCTTCTCCAGCTCGTCAAGGATGGGCTTCTCCAAGCTCTCGGGCTTGGTGGTGCTGGCCCAGCGGCCCTTGACCTGGCCGTCGCGGCCGACGAGGAACTTTTCAAAGTTCCACTTGATGCGCTTGAGGCCCATGATGCCGGGCTTCTCCTCCTTGAGCCACTGGAAGAGGGGGTTGGCGGCATCACCGTTGACGTCAATCTTTTGCATGATGGGGAAGGAGACGCCGTAGTTGACCTGGCAGAAATTCTGGATCTCGTCGTCGGAGCCGGGTTCCTGTCCGCCAAACTGGTTGCAGGGGAAGCCGAGGACGATGAAGTCGTCGCCGTGCTTCTCCTTGATGTCCTTGTAGAGCTTCTCGAGGCCGGCGTACTGCGGGGTGAAGCCGCACTTGGAGGCGGTGTTGACGACGAGGACGACCTTGCCCTTGTAGTCGGCGAGGGGGACCTCTTGGCCGCGCTCTGTTTTGGAGGGGAAGAATGCATGTCAGCCAAACCGTTTTCAAGGTGATTGGTTAGTTATCACGCAACAATGGGAATCGCACGTACTGTCCAAGGGCTTGAAGTCGTAGAAGCCTGTTGCGGAAGCCATTACTGCGGTTGTGTGAATTTGGCGTTGCTGTTCTGCGATAGCTCTAAAATTACCCCGCAATTGGATCTTGTTGATTAGTTGCGGTCGGTCCGGCGATGATGCACAAGTTTTGAGCGAGTAGATGTAAGGAAGAAAAAGTCTTGGATGATGCACAGCTACGGAAGCAGCAGTGGAAGTTGTTTTGAGAGAGAAGGCTCTGGTATGTAGTTGACGAAACATGCCATGCGTGACGCCACGAGGGAGGGATTGGGTGATGCAGGGACGGACGGGAAGGGAAGTGCGTCGTCCTTTCCTGTCACGCCTGTTCCCTTCGCCAGTGGTGCTGCCGGGACAAAGTTTCAATCCGGTTTCCAATGGGGTCCCCGGGCACGGGCGTGCACTCGCATCGAAGCCACACCAACAGGCCAAGGTACCACGTATGCGTACACAGGATTCCGTAATTGCCTACGGATACCTTCTATTACCGTTAGTGTTGCACCATCACACTTCCAATGCCTCCACAGAGCTGCACTTTGACACCTCGAATGGGCCAGAACAAGAGGGGCACGACGGGGTCTTCGGTCGAAAGTGGGGCTCCGTCACGATGGATGCGGGAGGGTCGACAAGCTCTGCATCGGCCGAGGTACGGGACGGCATGTCCTGGTTCCGTTTTGTTTCGATCTAGACATGCCAATGTAACAGCTTGTCTTTGGTCGCTGGTGACACTGGTAGGTGGATAGATGTGTATCAACAGTGCATTGCCTACAAAGCTCAACTCATACAGTAAGTTCTATTCCCAAGATTCTCGCTTGAAGTCAACCAAAAGACATCATCTCTGGCAACTCATCAGCTGGTCAATACTGAATCACTACTTCGGATTGATGAAGCGAACGCGAGACCCGGCTCTTCATGTGAGAGTGGAGCCAGTCGGCTGAATTTGTTGTTCCGGTGCCCGAGTCGGCCAGTCCAGATGGGTGTTGAAGCATCGACTTTTGCGAGTTTGTTCAGCACCAACTTTGAAGTCCGGGTCTTCCGTGGCGGCAGACTGCCCGAGTCGAGGCAAGAGCACCGAAGAGCCGGGGAGGCTAGGTAGGTATCTCAAATCCAATGGAGGGGCTCACGCAGCCACGCCAGACCGGCTCATAACGTTATCGGTATTTGGCCACCCATCGATTGTCAATTACTAAGCAGGACGCAGCCGAGCCGAGGCGGATCAATGCTTGTTCCGTCATAGCTCCCTCGCCGAGGTGATTTCCGTATTTGGAATGCAAGGTCGACCCTGAGCCAATTGCCGCCCCGGTCTCTCTCAGCGCAATCTTTCCCAATCACCAGTACGCGAATCACCCGAATCACGCCAGGCTGCTCGAGACTTTACTGCAACCCGCTACCAACAGATACGGATACCTGCTCCAAAGTACCTTGAAGAGGGGGGGCCGCAGCCCGGCCGCGGTCTCATTCTATCAACGTTCCGCCGCCGTCACCACGCGCTATCGATAAGGAACTACCCCGCCACGGACCGTGCCCCTCGAGGAGCTCAGGTCAAGCAGGACACGGCCGCCCCACGGGGTGACGAAATGCCCGCCGTCAGGAAGAAGACGAAGAAGCAGCGGCGCGAGAAACGACAACTCGACATTGCAAGACGGATACTCGAGGAAGAGGCCCTGTCGACACTAACACCGCCCTTGCCAGCCATGGATCCCCAAGCAAAGCGCAACATTGTCATCGTCGGTACGTCTACTACACAACAGGGTCGTCTTCGTCGTCGTCGCCACTTTAAGTAGACTGACATCAAGGGCATGGCCACTTTGCAGGTGGCGGCATCATCGGTTCCACAACGGCCTACTTCCTCACAAGACACCCGAAATACAACCCTGCCCTCCATCGCATCACAATCCTCGAGGCCACTGCCATCGCCTCAGGCGCCTCTGGCAAAGCGGGCGGCCTACTCGCCCTCTGGGCCTACCCGTCTTGCCTCGTTCCACTCTCCTACCGCCTGCACAAGGAGCTCGCCGCGGAGCACGGCGGCGAGAAGAGATGGGGCTACCGGCGCGTCAATTGCGGCAGCTTCGAGGCCCGCGTCACGAAGCAGACGCTCGAGAACATTAAACAAGCTGCCGTGAAACCTGAGGCTGTCGTGCCTGGCGCCAACGAAGGCGACCAGGAAAAGGGGTGGGAAAGGCTGCCGAAGCAGGACGAGGCCGCCGAGGCCATGTTGCGAGATTCGGGCGGCGTCGTGCCGGGGGACCTCGACTGGATCGATCGGGCCGCCGTCGAGACGTACGCCGAGATGGGCAGGCCCGGAGCGACGGAGACGGCGCAGGTGCATCCCTACGACTTCACCACGTCCATGGCGGCGCTGGCGCAGGAAAAGGGCGTCGAGGTGCGGACCAACGCGCAGCTGAAGAGGATTATCTCCGGTGAGAGCGTAGGCGGCGGCGGCGGCGGCGGCGTCAAGAGCGTCGAGTACCTTGATCGCGAGTCCAACGAGACCCGGACGATCGACGACGTGACGGACGTTCTAGTGTCCGCGGGGCCGTGGACCGGTCGCCTGCTGCCGCGGTCCAAAGTCACGGGCCTGCGGGCCCACAGTGTCGTCTACAACGCCGACGTGAGCCCCTACGCCGTCTTCACCAGCATCAGGCTCCCGGCCGACTTTGTGCCGGAGCACCGGGTCAGCAAAGGACAAAAAAGAAAACACAAGCGCGTCGTCGACCCGGAGATTTATGCGCGGCCGTATGGCGAGGTGTATGCATGTGGTTCGTTGCCCCCTTTCCCCCTTCCCGTCCCTTCCCCTTGGACATATTTCAACAACCAAACCCCAAGTCATCAAAGACACAAAGCTTACGGCAATACTCCCCACACTCTAGGCGAACCAGATGAAGACGCACCCCTCCCAGACACAGCAGACAAGGTCCAAGTAGACGAAGCCAACTGCGACGACATCATCTCGTACATCGCCACCGTCAGCCCCGCCCTGGCAGCCGCCTCCGTCAAGGCGAAGCAGGCGTGCTACCTGCCCCAACACGAGTCTGGCCCCCTCATCGGCGCGACATCGGTGCCGGGTCTATGGCTCGCGGCCGGCCACACGTGCTGGGGCATCCAGAACGGTCCCGCGACGGGAAAACTCATGTCCGAGTATATACTCGACGGCAAGACGGCCAGCGCCGATATCTCGGAGTTGGATCCGAGGCGGTATAGAGTCTAGGTGGTCTGTGATATTTAACGCAGACTTGCAGTAGAAGCGCAATTTGGTACTGGAACCGTTGCTGCATGGTATAGAAAACATGGTAAAGACGCATGATTAATGAAACATGAATAGTCATTTGAAAAAATCATAAAATCTATTATGAGGTTCCCCTAGGATACTCGGTCCCGAGGACAATATCTCTGACTATGCGTACCTCCTAGTGCAAGAGTACCAAGTTGGTTATGGCACCAACAAATGCAACCTCTCATCCCATATCGTTATTTCCGCGCCCAAAAACTCCCTATAAAACTATCGATAGATGCCAACCCACTTTGTATCTTTTTGGAGGGATGAGGACAAAAAAGTTCGAGCTATGTCAGGCTAGGTACCTTGGTGAAAGTGAGGTGGGGGGTACGCCAAAGAGCTCGGCACATCATCACCCCGGACATTCTTCCGAGACCTAGCCCGGGGAAACTACCCCCACGACCGTGATCGGTGGGAAGGGGGACGTTTACCCCACCATGTGTCACGCCGGGCACAAAAAAAGTTGCCCGCACGCTGAAATCATTTCTCATGAGTGCATGAAATCATGAGAACGAGGAAGATTGCCTTCCAATTAGAGGGAGTTCTCAATGTCCATGACCTCCTTGATGCCCTCCTCAATAGAAAGGGTACGGGCCTTCTCCAGACGTCTCAGAGGCCGTCTTGGGAAGCCTCCGTAGCCGTAGTAGCTCTGGATGGCGCCCTTGGTGCCCGCGATGGCAGCCTTTGTCAGGAACCAGTCGCCCCGGCTGAGCTTCTTCTGGAGCTCAATGGCCTCGTCCCTCTTGCCCTCCGAGTAGAGGTTCCACACCTTGACGCAGACCTTGGGCATGACATTGGCACCGCCGGCGATGATGCCGCTGCCGCCGCTGGCGAGGGTCTGGGCCGTGAAGTCGCATATGCCGCCAAAGGCCATGTAGCCGGAGCCTTCTGACCAAGGGGTCTTTGCGTTGGTGGCGAGGGCTACGCGGGTGAGCTTGCCCGTGTTGCCGCAGGTGAACTTTGTGCCGACGATGTTGGGGTGCTCCGCCAGCTTGATGAGCAGGTCGCTGTCCATGTCGATGCCGGAGACGGCGCCGGGGTAGTTGTAGAGGACAAGGGGGATGGGGCTCTGGTCGGCGACGGCGATGAAGTAGTCGTAGATGGCCTGCTCGTCCATTTGGGCGCGGAAGTACGAGGGGGGAAGGATGAGGGAGTAGTCGGCGCCGACCTCGAGGGCGGCCTTGGAGAGCTCAATGGTGCCGCGGACACTGCCCTCGGTGGCACCGAGAATGATGGGGGTGCTCTGGAAGCCGGCAGCGTCAAGAGCCTCACGGGTGGCCTTGGTCACGGCCAGCTTCTCCTCGCGTGTGCAGTGGGCAGCCTCTCCGTTGGAACCCATGACGACCAGACCGGCAAGACCAGCCTTGGCCAGGCGCTCGGCGTGCTTCTTGATGGTAGGGATGTCGAGATCTTCCGTCTCGGGGTCGAAGAAGGTCATGGTGGGGGCGTAGATGCCGACGGGGAGGGGGCGGCGAGCGCCACTGCTTCCGTTGGAGACGGTCATGATGGGCTGGTTTGGTGGGTGAGCTGGATGAATGAGAGAGCTGTGAGCAAAGTGTGAGTGAGAGGGGTAGGTTGTAGAGGTGAAGAGCACAAGAGAAGAGTGGTGTGGTTGGTGAGTAGAGGTGAGAGGTAATACTTACCAGAGAGACGAGTAGAGGCCGGTGTTGTATTTATAGGAGGGAGAAAGAAGAGAGACGACGAGGAGGACGGGATGATTTCCGTGAGCTAATGGGCTTGTTCCAGTATCAGCAAGCCCGCGTGGGGTGGGATGAGTCTAGAAATAAATATTTGACATGTCGCGAGGGCCTTGCTCGTGTGGACATTGGCCCGAACTATCGAGCATCGTGTAGACTCAAAGCCAAGACCGGAGAAGCTAACAACTGCACAACGGGGCCACCTTGGGACGCTCCCTTGCACCCCCAGTTGGGGGAGGGAGGGGGAGGGGCAATCGGAAACTAGACGAGAAGAACGCTAAGAGAAATGGAGAAGGGGGTGGAGTGTGCAGAGAAACGAGGTGCATCGCCGGTACTGCGGCAAGCGGTTCCTGTTTCCAGGTAGCTCAACAATGAGGCTTTTGGTGTCCAATTCCTACTCTTTGATGGCCCGCATTAGCCTACTAGGATAATGATGGTCAATCTCACATATTTGCAGATATCTTGAGTGAAGATATGGACAGCATTGGTGAGGATGAAGTCGGCTCGCTGCGTTTCAGTCCCACTTTGAGGAGGAATCCTCTGGGCAGTGCTCTCAGTCATGGCGGGGTATTTGCAGACTTCGAGAAAAGACAGTCGTCACACGTCACAAGACGAAGGAAATCCGAGACAAGCAAGGGACTTCCCTTGAAGCTCCGATCCATCCAACATCGCCCACCCACGTCTGTGGTCCGTGGGCTCCGGTAATAGACGGTAGGGAAGATGCATCTGCTGTAAGCTGTAGCCCTGTGTCGTGGGCAGGATCTGCTGGGAAGATGGATTGCGCCAATGCCACGAGATCTGCACGGAGGCAACCAGCACAGGGCTGGGTGGTGTCCGAAATCTGAAATCGCGCGTGGAGGGCAATACCAGACGGTGATGAGAAAGATGGCATTATTGGGAGAGCTGTCGTCTGGTCATGCAGCACAAGGCCAGTCAAGCCCGTCTTGAGCATTAGCGCTGAACTGGGACATGCACAGCTGCAGGCCGGAGGGTGCCTGGCAAATCACCCGGCGATTGGTAGCCCAGTCTCGGGTTTGCTCGCCCGTCGTGCATGAGTTGAACTTTTTTCCGTTGTCATCTCTCTTTTGACCTATCGACACCGCCAGAAGTGTAGACGCACTAAGCGGCATATTGGAGACGAGGAAAGTGACGAGAGCCACGGCGGCAGTGGTGTTCAGCTCAGAAGATACTGAAACCCTACGGTCAGCATCAAGAAGTGAATTCGGTAAGTTGTCTTGCTGTGTATCTGGAGACGAGCCAAGTAAGCTATGCTCTGTGCCACCGATGGCTTTTCTCTAAGCAAGTCCGGATCGCTACCGGTCAGCTCCGATGACCGCAGCCTGTGGCCGGCGGGAGAGAACCGGTATGGCCACTGAAACAGTAGGGCATCTAGCAGATGGCGCAGTGCATCGCTGTAACCTCTTTGCAACGATATGTGAGAGGCTGGCCGGCGATACGAAGCATATGGAGTGGCATGGATTTGTGCGTCGTTGAAGTGTTGGAGAAGGTTGGAAGTGATGGAGATGGAAGTCAGATGAGTGGACGGAGAAATTACGTCCAAGATGTTCCTCCAATAGGAAGCAGAGAACTACGCCTGGCAGGGTAAGTGGGGTGTCTTTGAATGAGTGGAGGTACCACGGTACCTTAGCTTCAGAGTTGGAGCAGGCACGGAGGGGCACGAGGGGTCTAGCCATCGGCGCTGGAACGGAATGGACGAGCGAAAGGACATAATGTAGGTAACAAGACTCGCGATCAATGTGAGATGCATGTAAAAAGGCGTTAGGTAGTCTAATATTCTGAAGAACCTTTCAAGGTTGGTGTGGCCTAGAGTCTGCGCTACGTTCTGGTGCAGATAGTATCATGAAAGGCTTCATGTTGTAAGTATTGAGTTACATAAGCTACTAGGCATCTACTCCTTAGACTCCAATTCTCGGGTAAAGTCGTTCAAGATATTGCATATTGCTAATGTCGCGGGCAATGAAACTCAAGTTGGTAGACTGCTGGCCAATACAACCACAGTCTTTAGCCGGTTGAAGAGGGATTAAATATCGAATTCTGCAGGCGATGTATCGTGTGCAGCAGGTAAAGGATCCCATCGCCTAATTTTCTTCGGAGCAGGATGCCCTGGTGCGCGTTTCGGAATGAATATCACTGCATCAGCCGTAACTGCCTGCATACCGTCTGTCAGAGGGGTTTCACAATCGAGAAATTTCCTAAACGCACTCTGTCCAGCGAAATATGCAGTAGCAGAATAGTCTTATGGCCTACGGATACCTTGGTGGTTTACTGAGATATCAACTCACTCAAGGTACCTTGTCTCATGTATTTCATACCAGCGGTCATCCATGTCACGAGTTGTCGCGGGGCAGATGGGGCGTGGGGGCGGGGAATGGGGCCAGGAAAAAGATACTTATACCAGCACTGAGGTTGTGTCTCCCCGGGCGGGCGAAGGCTATCCAGGTAAACTTCGTCAAGTCCAAAATCAAAAACTGAGAATATTGGCTCCTTGAATCATTTAGCTTCCGTTTAGACAGACGATTGTCCAACATCATTCTTGCCCGCTCTCGGCTCTCAAAAGTTATGGGATTGAGTTGTGGTACGAATACTCTAAACAGGGTTGATTCTTCTATGAAATGGTCTTCCCAGCCAATGGGTAATAACCGGCGTTAATTGCTCTAACCAGCCAGCAATTGATCACCCCGTTTAAACAAATTGGCATTATTCTCCTTGGCCGAGTCCACACGTTACTAGGCCGACTACTAGCACAAAGTGAGGTACACAAGCACACCCGTTGAACCCCAATGGAAGAACGGCACGACGCTGCCCCACACTTGCGATTCCCACGGCCCCTCCCCCTCCCCCTCATTCCACTTTTTTTGCTGCCCCTCCATGTTTCTCTTACTCTTCAGTCACGAAACTGCAACTCCCAGATGTCTTCACTCTGGTTATTTCTCCGAAATGAGAAGGCAATGCACAGAACAAATTTCAAAGAAGAATTGACTACAGAGTTGCCCTGGTATCATTGGAAGCCCATGCTAAATCATGAAAATCCGGCAAGATGGCGTGGCGGCGCAGCCTCCGTCTTGGGCTTGAATCGGCCGGTGCGACCCTCCGAACACCGGCGTCGACGGCACCGTGGCTTCGGTCATGCTCGGGATGTGTTTCCAGAAGCGGCAGCATGTTTTTTTTTCTTCTCCTACATTCTTTCCCCTCTAGGGACAAATTTCCATTACTATAGTCAGAAGTTCTTTGCAAAATCTCTCATGATTCCGCAATATGCTCCCGATCCAAGTTGACGCTGGATGAACGCTGAAGAACCAACCATGCATGCGCCATGCAACCCGTTCGCTCTTCCAAAAGTCTCGCCTTTTTCTAACAAAACAAGCCAAGAACAGCCATCATAGCACATCATACCAGAGACTCCCTATAATTGTCTCCATCAGACTATCTGAGCGGATAAGTCGAGCGTCTGGGCTGGGGGAGCTGACGCACGGCGGAGTGCGGGGCTGATAAATCCCTCCAATTGTCTTCCCCCCTCCTCTGCCCCTCAATTTTTCCGGGCCCAGCTTTGTCGTGGAGTAGCTACGAGACGTGACGGAGACGAGACGGGAGCTTCTCCTTGGTCGCCATGCCACGGCGAGCTTCATCCTTAGAGAGAGAAAATTATTCTTGGCCTGCCCATTATTATCCGTTGCCGCTCTTGTTCCGTGCTGTCTCTCGCTGCGTCTCGCCCGAGCTACTTGTGCTACTTTGCCCATTGACACGTTCCCACCCCTCTATTATATAGACCGTAACTTTCGCCGTCTGTTCTGGCTCGTGAAGTTCCTCTTCTCCATTCCCTCCCAAACTCTCCTCTCCCCTCCTCTGTATCATTTTCCAAACCATTGAAAGAAAAGACGCGACCAAAATGGAGCCTCTCAACGTCTTGATGGTAAGCCAATTCAGAATCATCCGGCTCAGTTCCACGTGCTAATTTCATCACCAGGTTGGTACCGGAGAGTACACCACCGGCTTCGTCGGTGGCGGTGCCTCTGGTTCGGACAAGAAGGTGGGCGTCGTCGGCCTGACTCTCTTCGACCTGAGGAGAAGAGGCAAGGTCAACCAGCTGGGCATGGTTGGCGTCAACGGCACAAAGTTCCCCGCCATTAGTACGCAAAACACCGCTATCCCGAGCCAATATAGTCAAAGTGACAATGCTGACCTGTGCGTGAAGGGGAGCATCTCCACAAGAACATCACCCAGGCTTACAACGGCCTGGACACCTCCTTCGACTCATACCCCGCCAACGACAAGAAGGACCCCGACTCCTACAAGACGGCCATCGACGCCCTCAAGGCCGGCGACGCCATCACCATCTTCACCCCCGACACCACCCACTACCCCATCGCCCTCTACGCCATCGAGCGCGGCATCCACGTGCTCCTGACCAAGCCCGCCGTCAAGGACCTGGAGCACCACCAGGCCCTCATCGAGGCCGCCGACAAGAAGGGCGTCTACGTCTTCATCGAGCACCACAAGCGCTTCGACCCGGCCTACTCAGACGCCCGCTTCAAGGCCCAGAAGCTCGGCGACTTCAACTACTTTTACAGCTACATGTCCCAGCCCAAGTCCCAGCTCGAGACCTTCAAGGCCTGGGCCGGCGTCGACTCGGACATCTCTTACTACCTCAACAGCCACCACGTCGACATTTGCGACTCCATGGTCACCCAGCAAGGCTTCGTCCCCGTCAAGGTCTCCGCCTCGGCGTCAAAGGGCATCGCCACCGACCTCGGCTGCGACCCGGCCACCGAGGACACAATCTCCGTCCTCGTCCACTGGGAGAAGAAGGGCGACCCGTCCAAAAAGGCCACGGGCGTCTACACCGCCAGCTGGACCGCGCCCCAGCGCGCGGGCGTCCACTCGAACCAGTACTTCCACTACCTCGCCGCCAACGGCGAGATCCGCGTCGACCAGGCCAAGCGCGGCTACGACGTCGCCGACGACTCGGCGGGCCAGCTCATGTGGTACAACCCCTTTTACATGCGCTACGCGCCCGACGAGGACGGAAACTTCAACGGCCAGACGGGCTACGGCTACATCTCGCTCGAGAAGTTCGTCGACGGCTGCCGGCAGGTCAACTCTGGCCAGCTCAAGCCCAAGGATCTCGATGCCAAGGGTCTGCCTACCCTCAAGAACACCATCGCCACCACGGCTATCCTCCACGCCGGCAGGAAAAGTATCGACGAGAACCGTGAGATCAAGATTGAGGTCAACGACGGTGTCTGGAAGCTGGTGTAAGGGGTTTTGTGTGTTGAAGGGATGACGACCTTGTGTGGATGACCTGTGGATATGTAAAGGGCTTATATACCATCTGCTATTTTACGCTGAATGAAAATAATTCATGACATGAATGAGATTACGCTTTGATTGCGATGAGATTTTAAGCCAGAGTTCTATCGATCGTGAAAATGGGATGTCCAGAGATTTGAACCTCAGTGTAAGTTCACACATGAAGGTGTGCGATCCATCATCACAGGAAGTTCTCATCCGCCCTTACGAGCTTGACCTATCAATTGGACAACAGCCAATGAAAAGCGCCAAGCGACCATCTCAAATAGTCAATCGCTTCTGAGAAAACATTCTCCAGCTTCAAGAGCCAGAACTAATAATGGATAACAACATCACAAATCTGAGTCGATTCCTCCATGGTTGGCGTGGGATGAATCATCACAGCTTGCCGCGCACGTCTATCTATCTAGCCGAAGGGCTAATCACTCTTTCGCAACCGCGATCTTCATCATCCAACCCTGTGCTGGGCCGTAGTCCCCACGATATAGGTCGAACCGATACAAGAGAAGCCAAAAAAGAGTTCACCCCCCCGGTGCTGAACTGGGGGCTACATCTCTTGGTGCTCATGCTGGGAACTCGAAATATCTAGTGCTTATGCTGGAATTCGAACTCGGGTACTTTCGTATGCGCTTAGCCTGTTGTCGAGTAGGCTGGTTGGCGTAGATTTTAATTGTTGACCATGAACCACTCCACCACGCAGTCCAGTTTGACCTGACCCCCCCGCCTAGAGGAGCGCCTGCTGTTGCTGGTGACGAGAATGGTATTGAGGGGGCCTATATGGGCTTCGTCTGTGGTGTATTGTGATGTTCAGGGCGAATATACATGAAGACGCAGGTGGGATGTGCCACGCGCAAGGCACCTACCTGCCTACTTTAAGGTATCGACAGCTGCGTGAGAGGCAAGAACGCTGGAACACAGATTGTAAAGATATCGGCGTTTCTTTTACTGCTTATAAACAGTGTGTCCCAACGAACGGCTATGATTTGAAAGAAATTAACACTCAAAAATGTTGATACGATGATAGAGAAGGTTTCAGCATGGAGAGAGTCCTAAAGCTTCTCAGGCGATATCCGCGAGAAGGTTCGATTAAAACCATCCATGAGGACTCGACCTTACCCTCCTCTCAAGAAACCTACCCAGAACGCCTTGAATCTGTCGTAATTTATAATAAAGTTAATGACTACGAAAAAATAGAGATTCCAAGGAACTTGAATACCTCAAGTACGGCACGGAACTAAAGGCATCACATTCAGGTGAGAAAGACGAATCTCGGTCAGATATCGGTGAATCTCGGTGTAAATTCCAGCACCCACACGTCGAACCACGCTAAGCCCGATACGAGCCAAGTGGCCCCTCCTCCGATAAGATAAGATTAACAAAAAATTCGAGAAGCGGCAACTTGAGCAACCTCTGGCCAAACTGCTTTGCGCCCGGCCACCTCGTACCTCGTTAATTCTACCTTACCCAAGGCACTCGTGATCCCGCATCCCACCACCTCCTTCACCTTTTCCGGAAAAAAAAAGACAATCGGCTCACAATGGGTTCCGTCCTCCAAAAGAAGAAGCGCCGCTCCGGCCGCGCCAAAGTCAAGACAAACAGGCCCAAGAAGCTCCTCAACCCTCTCGGCAACGACATCATCGCAAAGAACTGGTACGCAGACACACGCAGACACACACACACACACACACACACACTCGTCGCCCCTTTGAACTGCCCGCACCTCGACGTCCAGATCCCACTACCGAGAGAGAAACACAATTTGTGCTGACCACCCATTGTCGTCCAGGAACAAGAAGGAAACCCTCACCCAAAACTACCGCCGCCTAGGCCTCACAGCCCGCCTCAAATCAGCAACAGGCGGCACAGAAAAGACGCTCGCCCAACTCGAGCAAGCAAAGACCGCCTCCTCCTCCACCGCCGCCGCCAAGCGCGACCCCTTCGCCATCTCCACAACCGAAGAAGCCGTCTTCGAAGAAGCCCGCGTCGAGCGCGACGCCGACGGCAAAATCATCAAGATCCACTACGCCAGCGCCAATAAGCGTCCCAACCCCCTCAACGACCCCCTGAACGCCCTCGAAGGAGGATCCGACGACGAAGAGGAGAACGAAGAGGAATGGGGTGGCATCGACGACGAGAGCAGACCCGAAGTCATCCGCCTCCTCGAGAAGGAAGCCGCCCTCCCCGAGATCAAAAAGCCGCGACACATTAGCCAGCAGGAGAAAGAATGGCTCGAGAGGTTGATTGCCAAGCACGGCGACGACTACGATGCCATGGTGCGGGATCGCAAGTTGAACCCCATGCAGCAGACGAAGGGCGATATCGCGCGCCGGGTGAAGAGGTTTACTGGCAAGGCGTAAATCTTTTCGGGAGAGGAGACGCAGTGTAGATGAGAAGGGGGGGAAATGAAAGGAAGGAAGTAGAGGGGAGGGGAAGAAAGCATTTACAGAGAGGGAGGGCATGGAAGGAAAGAAAAAGTTCCAAAAGGAGTCGTTCATATTACATGTTGGTCGGTGGTAAGAGCCTGGCCATAGAGGAAATACTGTCGTGTCCCCCCTTTGCGGAGTTATGGCGTTTTCAGATCAAATTTTTTGGCATAAAACACAATATTCCACATGTTCACTACGAAAGCAAGCTGATCATTTTTCATCATTGACTTTTAATCGTCATGTCATCAAATTTGATGTCTACCTAGAGAGAGCTTCATGCCTGGTATCTTTGCGATTACCTTTGTTACAAATGGGACGCCAACAACACCCCGTAATCCGGAAAATAAAAATCCAAGCCCATCTATGTGAACACTGGACAGCACAGTCCGTCCGCCTTCGTCAACCCAAAACCGGCCTAGGTTTTGCTCGGGCTGTGGCCCTGCCATCACAAATCCTTCACACTGGAATACTATCCCATTGAAAGAATATGATATTCATCTTAGTGCATCGTGCGATCGTAGGGCGCGGAAGGGAACTGCGCCGGCCGGTCGTCGTCGTAAGCAGGCGCTGCGCCATACGGCTCAGGGGCGGAGTACGGTTGTACCGCTGCCGCGGGGCTGGTGGAGGTGGGCCTCTGGGGATGAGTTTGAGAGTGGTACTCGGTCTCGCTGTCGAACATGGCACCGTTCTGGCGCGAGGGGAGGGATCCGTAGCGGTTCGGGTCGTCATCCTCGCCGTAGGCCGAGCTGCCGGCGCCGTAGCGACTGTTGTAGCTGTTGTTGGCATATCCGTGGTTGCCGGTGGCGTTGCCGCCGTAGAGCGTTGTGTTGTCGTCGTTGTGGTCATCCATCTGGACGGGGGCGTATGCCTCCTCGTCGTGGGGTGCCATGGAGAAGGCGGCCTTGTCGGGGTCGATGTTGTCTCCGCCGAGCTTCTCCTTGTCGTAGCCGGGGAGCTTGCCGTGGAACTGGTAGTACTTCAGAGTGTACAGACTGACAAAGGTGCTGCCTCCGAAGAGAAGGCTGCCAAAGTGCTGTTAGCATCATTGCCTGAATAGCTGCGATCCACATTCTCTGATGACTTACCACACGAAAACACCCAAGCCGACAATGGCCTTGCTGAGCTTGCAGCCGTCACCGCACTGGTTGGCCGTGTTGTAGGCGGCCTGACTTGCGAAGGCAGAAAGCCAGATGATGCAGAAGCATGCATCTACGATGGCCATAGCGTAGGGGTTGGCCAGTTTTCTCGTTCTCGGCCACCGCGGCGCCATAATCAGGTAGATCCACGCTGGTAGCGAAAGGAAGCACTGCGATGCGACTGTCAGCGATTTGCATACCTTGCCAAAATACAGGACTCATTTTCCTGTCAGGTTGCCTTACCACTCCAAAAGTCCAGCCATTGTTGCCGACGATTTTTGCGTTATCGGCTCTAAACACTGCAATTTCCAATGCCCAAATGGCGAAGGACAGAATGAACTGGAAGATGTGCAGACCGAGCTTGACGCCGGGGACGTATTCCGGGTCAAAGTCGAGGTTTCCGAGCATGTTTGTCGTCGAGTCGTCGAATATGTCGGGTTTTTTGGTGATCTAGTAGGGTTTCCCTACGTTTGTGATCGAAAGGGGGATGTTGGATGAGAGGAGGTTGTCAGCTATGCGACTGTTGCTCCCCTGGCCTTTTTTCCCCTTCTAAATAAAGATCAAACTCAATCCGGCTCGGCAACGGGGTTTGGCGAGACAACCCAGGGATCGGAACCAGTGGACGGGGGGGTTTTGGGGGGCCAATCGATAAGGGAACCCGCTGTAATGATGTAAGATAGGTAGCTCGCTGGCTTGGGTTGTTCGGGTTGTGGGAACGAGTGTCGAGGGCGAGGTGAGATGCTGTTCGTTGATTGTCAAAAACACTGGAAACTATCCGTGAGAGAAAGCTTGGAGGTATGTGAGTGAGGTGAGGTGAGTGTGAGGAAGATGGGAGGTAATAGACGGGAAATCAGAAACAGAAGGAGCAAAGTGGCTTTTGGGGGACGCGTCTGCCTTTTCTTGTCTTTAAAACGAAACAGCCCCAGCTGGCCTCGAATTGCGGCAGTGACGAGACGTGGATTCAGTGGGCAACGACTCGTTCCCTCTTACCTTACTGTAGCAGTGGGCGGTGGAGTGGACGCCTGGCAGAGGTGTGGGTCCAAGCCGCGCCTGAAGCTCCCGTCATCTTTGGTCTTTGCCATCCCTGCCTTGCCTTACCTTAGCAATTCGAAGTTTGCTGTGAGTTAAGGCAAGGTACCTTGAGGTATGTAATCATTCCACATTGCACTGCAGTGTACTCCGTAATCATCTTCTCGTCTTGATACCAACCTTGAGGCTTCAACCAGGATCCCTCCTACGGTCATTTTGCAGCCCCGATGCTGCGGAACCTCTACGCGCAATGGGACGGACACCAATGCGAACTCACGGCCCATGATCCAAGGACACTCCATGAACGGATGGATTCCACACGGGCACACGGGTTGGGATGAGGCAGACTGCGGAAACTTGGGTTGAACCAAGCCACTCAACCGCTGGGTTTACACTGCGCCACTGCGGCCCAGGCAGCGAATTATCGTCCCTCAAGTGCGACCAGCTGAGCAATAGATCCCTGCACGCCACGCCTCCCCGAGCGAATAGTTCGAACCCGTCTCTTTTTTTACCTTTTCTGTCCCCTTTGCCCTGTGGCCCTATGGTTCACCATGTGTCCATGTACTTGGTGTCGCCGCATGCTAGCCAAAGGGACGACGTTCAAGGTACAGAGAGCCTACCGAGGGGAGGAAGCCACGCACCAGTTCAATGGTATGGTGCCTTTTCGTATTTCTCAACCGTCGACCGGCGCAAGCCAATGGCTGACGCGCCGTTGTTTCTCCTACCGAAGCCAGCGAGCCCTGATTTTCGTCTGACGTTGTCTGGCGTTGGATTGGTCGTTGCTTCGCGGTTGCTTTGCTGCTGCTTTTTTGCTGCATGCTAAAACGTCCTGGTTGTCACGGTTGTCTGGGGTGATGCGCGGCAGCAGGGGGAGAAATGGCCGGACGGCGATCATCAATGATGACAACCTGCAGACGATAATGGACCTCTATTCCTTGGACGGCAACCCACGGCAGACGAGACGAGACAAGACGACCGCCCGTAAGAGCTTCTGGAGAATATCGTCTTTTTGCGAACGGACTGGGTACTGTCATCGCAGCGGAGCCGCCACAGAATTGCGCGCGACACTGACAATTGACACTGACTGACACCTCAGCCGTCTTCAATCTTCGGAGAACCTAGCAAGATGAGGAAGCTAACACGAGCCCGCTGCCGCCGCATTCCGGGTGGTCCACGCGCACAACGGCTGAGCCGCCCAGCGCTTCCCTCCTTACCGTCTGCTCCGTACGCCGGGGTTGCGACTCTCAAGGTTCAATCGGCCTTGCATTGTTTGGTCACAGGGCAACTGTTGTCTCTCGTACGAGACCAGAGAAGAGAGGGCCTCAAGAGCCTCGGAACCTTGAGAGCCCATGGAAATGTAGTCTATTCCACAACGAAGACCTTGATCTTGACAGACGGGAACCCCGAGTCCGCCTCCAGCTAGACGAATCTCTCTGTCCGTTACTCTCCCACATCAAGAGAGCTGTTGGTCTGATCACCAGAGCAGCACAGCGGGAAGAGCGCACCAGATGCCCTTGCGCCAGGAAAATAAAGTCACTGATGTATCCGTAGGGTGGATATAATGGCGTAAGTCTTCGCCGCCCGACGCTATGTAAAGACGGGTCCCCATCCACCCACGGCCGCAGTACGGTCACAAGCTATTGCTGGGGTACAGAGAAAGCATCTCACCCGCACAGCAAGCAAGCGAGCGAGGAAGCGAGCGACAGTTACGTCGCCCATCTTGGCTGTACCCAACATAGCCACGCTTGCTTGCGTGTTGCCAATTTACCATCTGCCGGCGCATCTTTACGACGAAAAAAAAAAAGGCGGGGAGATATCCTCGACATTCCGGTGTTTCCATCATCTTCTCCGTCTTCAACTCGTCGGCGTTACCGACTCTCAAGTCCGGCCCGAGAGAGCCCGCCGGCGGCGGTGGTGGCGGCAGCAGCAGCAGCACAGAACTTTGATCATCTTGGGACGACATCTGAGTGAGGCATGCCAGCGATCCCTAGCTTGCGGCTGAATGCACCTGGAATTCAGCACGGACATGAGAACGAAGCCTCATTCAATGTCTCTTAACAATATCTCCGATGTCTCTGATCCCATTGAATCTCATTCAACCCTTGGCATCAACTCATCAAACTTTCATCTGCTAAACCTGCAGAATGAGTGCCTTGAAACATGACCTCACAATCTTATAATCGGTGTTATCCAAATGAAATGCGATGAATGAGTCGCCTCGCATCCATACAGTATCGAGTGACACTGTTTTCGCGCCATATTCAAGCGCAAGCACCGTGCAAAATAGGGTCGTCCACATTGGAAATTTCACGACCGAGACGTGCCTCATTTCGAGCCCTAGACAGTGCCAATCTTGTACAACCCCTTCCAACCTCACTCAATTTCATCTTGGATGAGATAGCTTCAATCCAAACACACCCCTGTTCTATCCTGGAGCTCCCTACCCCTCCAAAGCTTCAACCGGGAAACATGGCGCAAAACACACACCCCGCCGCCGCAGCACCCGCCCTCTCAGACCTCATCTTCCCCACGACGGCGAACCACAACTTTTCCCACATCCTCACGGACCTCAAGCGCTCTAACCTCTCCATCGCGAACCGACTTCGCTCTATCACGCAGGACGCCGACTTTGTGCAGGATGTCGCGGCCAGTTTCGGTCGTCCGCTTGTGGCGAACGAGCGCTGCGGGAGCTGGTATATTCGACCTGCGGACAAGCGGGCAAGCGCGTACTTTAAGAGTACGGATGGGCATACGAATGCCTGGAAGTTTAGTACGCGCAGGTTGAATTTGCATTTGCTTGAGCTTGTTGGGAAGCATGATGGGTGAGTTTTATGGTGGTGTTTTTGAACTTCGATGATGGTGGCATGAGTGCGTTCATAAGAGGAAGAGGCTTTGGATATAAACTGCTTCTAATAAGAGCAGAGCTGACTGAGAATCTAGATGCATCATTGTAGATTCAACCCGCAGAGGCAAGAGTAAGTCCACATCATCAGACTCATACATCAGCACATCCACGAAGCTCAAGACTAACACGACTCCCAGGAATGCCAGACGCCCTAAGCAAAACCATTCCAATCTGGTGCGCCGTCCTCAACGCAGCCCTCTTCCCAGACCTCGACCCGGCGCGCGAGCTCCGCCTCTTCACCCCGCCCAACGTCGTCTCGGCCTCGGAACACGCCCAAATCGCTGCCCTCCTCCCGTCCTTCCTCGCTTCCCTCAAGAGCCTCGACCTCGATCTCGCGGCTCTCCGTGCGCACGTCTCCAAGCCCCTGCGGCCATTTTGGGTCACGCAAGAGACGCAGCTTCCGTCGTTATCCGCGTCTGCGGGCGATGATGACGACCCTGTGAAGAACGTGGTTTTCGAAGATTACCACCCCATCATCTGCTGCACCTCCTCGCGCCGCGTCGCCGGTACGGAAATGAGCGAGGCCGGGTACATCCAAGGCGCCGGCGACGACACGGAGAACTGGGCTCTCGGTCTGACGGCCGAAGTATTTTGGGAGAACGCCGCGGCGCTGCTCTCGTGTGCCGAGGCCGATCTCCCGGAACTAGTGATTCGTCTCGTCGCGGAGGACAAGAGGAATGCGCCGAGAGGGGTGCAGCCGAAGCGAGTTGCGCCGCGGATCTACGTCTGTCCTTTACCCCTGGACGATGAGGAAGACAGCAGTGGTGGTACGGATGCTGTGTCCGCGGGTGCGTGCAGAGTCGTGCTAACACAGGACGTCACGCCGCGGGACGCGTGGGTGAAATCTCCGACGTACATGCAAGTCGGCCTCGGGAAGCACAAGGTCGCGAGTCGCAACCTCCGGCAGGCGCTGCCGGATATCTGCGCCTTTGTCGCGGGGTACCTCGACTCGCATCGTGATGTAGTAGAGGGCGCTGCCGAGGGCGACAGCAGCAGCAGTGGCAGCGTCCTCGTGGCCTGCGAGACGGGCAAGGATCTATCTATTGGCGTTGCGCTGGCCATTTACTGCTGGTGCTTCGACCGGGACGGCAAGTTTCGCGTGGCGGACTCGACGACGTTTTTCAACAAGGACATGATCCGGGTAAAGCTGGGGACAGTCATGACGGCATACCCAGAGGCCAATGCGAACCGGGCTACGTTGCAGAGTGTCAACAGCTTTCTCATGGACCACCGAAGATGAAAAGGTCTCTTTTTACTAGTCTTGAGTCTACCTGGATTCCATCTCTCTCCTGAGCGGGCTAGTTTGACAAAGCGCTTCCAATAATTGGAACGCTGTCGGTCCTGGCTAACGATATGAACACTTAAACAGAAATGGGAAGAAAATATAAGGGGTTTGGTAGGGAGATGGAAGCCATCATGATCCCTCTACATCGCCGCAGCCTCAACCTCACAGAGAAGGCGACGGGATAGAAACCCCGGCTAGTCAGGCGCTCCCGCTCTCAATCTTGGCCAGCATGTCGGGGAACTCGCTCCAGTCCTTCATGACGACCACGGCCCCGGCATCGCGCAGCACCTTCTCCATCTCCGCCTGCTTGTCGGCGGCGTAGGGGCCGACGTACCCAATCACCTTGATCCCCGCGCGCGTGCCGCTGAGCGTGCCGCTCTTGGAGTCCTCGATGGCGACGCACTCTTCGGGCTTCTTGCCGAGCGTCTTCATGGCGTGCAGGTAGATGGCCGGGTCGGGCTTGCTTGTGGGCTTGGGAAGCGACGTGGCGGCGCTGAAGACGACGTCCTCGGGGAAGTACTTGTCCTGCCCGACTTTCACGACGGACGCCCAGACGCGGCGCTTGGCGGACGAGGAGACGACGGACAGGGTATGCTTGCCGGCCTTTTGCAGCGCCTCGAGCTGGTCGTCGACGCCCGGGCAGGGTTTGAGTGCGGCTTTGAGCTTGGCGATGACGGCGTCCTCTTCGCGGGTGACGTACGTCTCGAGCTCGTCGGGTTGGAGCTCAAAGTTGTGGGACTTTGCGAGGCCGAGGAGCATGCCGCGGAAGTTTTGGCCGACGAACTCCTTGATGAGGGATTCGCCCGTGAAGCGCTGCTCGATGCTGCGGGAGGCGCAGATCTCGTTGATGAGGTCGGCGCAGGCCTCGAAGGCGAGTTCCTCGGAGAGGACGAGGGTGTTGTCGCAGTCGAAGAGGAGGGTTGTGATCTGCGTGGTGGTGGTTAGTTCATGTCAGTTCGAGCTGGGTCGTACTCGGTCGACTTGGGTTCTCATCGTGACGTACTTGAGGCATGTTGGCGGTTATTTACAAAAGACTCGTCGGATGCTATTCCGGGTTTGAGGTGGAGAGCTTGCCTCGTGAAGAGCGGGGTTTAATGAAGCTGGGAGCTGAGAGCTGAGTCTGGAGGGGAGGAGGGGGAGTAAGCAAGCTATCTATAAGGTAGACGAAGCTTATTATCCGAGACCAATTGAGAAAGAAACCTTGGTTGCAGCTGGGGACTTGAAGAACTGGGAACCTCGGAATGGAGGAGGAGATGGCGAAGAAATGAACTACGTAGTGAATCAGGGTAGAATAGGACTTCTATTAAGGTATCTCACGCATCTGTCTCCCAGGAAACCACAAAGGTCTCTCTTTTCCTTCCGTCTTTCTCCCGCGCCCGCTTCCTTAACCCCCCCTCCCCTCTTCCTCCACGCCGGCTTCTCATCTTCGTCGTCCCAACGAGTCCAATGAGAGCCGCGGAAAATAACACGCAAAGTACGGTAAGTAAGTTAGGTAAGTCGGACCTCGACCAGCTCTGGCGGGAAAATGGCCTCACAATACCCGGCAGCACTTGCATCGATGGCTCTCTGGGCCTACCTAGGCTGGCTACCTAGAACGAGGGGCCCCACCAACGCTTTTACCCCTCCCCCTCCAAAACCCACGGGCGTCCCCATCCCGTCGTCCACCCATTTCCCGCATGTGAAGTGTCGTCATCACCGCGGGGTCGAGTACTTACATACACATACATACATGCACCACCACATGGCCAATGTACATAAAGCTCATGAAGAACACCGCGGCGAAACTCCGGAACCGCAGCCGCCGAATCTCGCTTGATGCGCCATTTACTTGCTTTGATATGAGAGGAATCCTGCATTCTCTGAACACCAATAGTCGTAGTTGGAGTAGCGGAAGCCGAGACTTCATCGCGATCAGCCCATCGTTCCAAACCCCCCGCACAAACCATCCGCCCTCCATCATCCCGACTCCCGAACCCGGCCGCGCCCAGCTTGCGAAACAGAGTTCTGCCGAGCGTAGGGCCGGGGAACTCGGGGAGACGGGCCTGTGAGAATCTTCATTACGACCTAACCTTGCGCGAAATATTCCGTCTCGCATAGCCGCGTAGATGAGTGAATCAGTATAGCGTACAGATCAACGTCGAGTGATTGACCACTATCGACGGGAGACGAGGCGCATTCGTACTCAGTAGGCTTACCGCCGAGGTCCTTTCTTTCTCCGTTCTGAATATCGTGATAAGATTGAGGTAGCTTCCGAATTACAGACTGAGAATACCACTTACTTTTGAGGACATACGATAGAAGAGGGGATCGGTCCAATATAACCGCACTCCAGGAACGGGAAATAAACAAAACAACCTCACCTGTTGTGTCCAATTTTTCGTATGCTTACCTTACCCTACACAAGATCTATTAGATGTGTAACTAAGTGGACGGTAGCTCCCGAGGCAAACTCCACTAGCCGCAAGGATACAGCTCGCTCGGCCTGCGCCGGGATGAACATGGGAAATTCCAGCACAACAAAATCGGGACGACGGGAGGGCTGGACACCTCTCGGTCCCGAGATGCGCGAGTGAGCCGTCTAGTCGTGGTAATGTCGTCATTGGAGCCTGGTCACAATATGCCGACCATCTGAAGAGAACATGGTGATGTCTATTGCAAGATGTTGAATAGGATCAATGTTCAGAGCTCAATATTAAATCCTGGACATTGGCTTCTCGCGCCATCGTGTCCGCCGTTCACCCCCTCTACCACGACAGCTCTTCCCCATTACGATTGTGGCGGTCGTCACAGCTCATCAACTAAACGAAAAGTCACTTCCTGGTGCCAGCTTTCAGGCCGTAGTCACAAATATCACAACGACACTTGAGTACGTGTCAATATAGTCTTAAGCTTGAATTATTTCATATCTAAGTACCTCTGCGCAGGCATCACCTCTCCACCAGCAACTCAGCTCGTGTTGCCTGCTCATGAAATGCGCAATGCTCGTAGAGGGGCAAAAAGGAAAAGGCCAACCCTTGGCCTTGTAAAAGCAGAAAACCCAACCACGCCCCAAACTCCTATTCATGATGAGCATACCAGCCAGCCGAACCAAAGGATCATCTTGTTTACGGTGCAAACACCCCCGGCGCAAACTGCGTCGCCTTAGCAACGTCTCCGCAAGCCCCTCCATCCCTCACTCCTGAGTTCCCTTTACAGAATCTCCTTCAGCTGCTGCTTCTGCGCCGGTGTTAAGCTCGTGGGGAACTTGACATTGTACTTGATGACAAAGTCACCCCTCGTTCCAGGCTTCTTGGAAATAGGCATGCCCAGGCCGGGGTACCGATCGGAGCTGCCGGGCTGTGTGGGGCCGTTCTTATCGAGGTTCAGCTGCTTGCCGTCGATCGTCGTCACCGTCCGCTTCCAGCCCGTGAGGGCCTCCTTTAGGTCCAACTCGACGGTGTGAACCAAGTCGTTGTCTTCGCGCACGAAAAGCGGGTGAGCTTTCTGTAGTATTTGTTAGTACCGTAACATCTCTAGAGCGTTTGCATTGGGAATGAGTGTGTGTGAACATACCTCTTCCAAGATAAAGTGCAGGTCCTGCTGGCCGCCTTCTTCCTGGTCGCCTACGCCCTTGAACTTGATCTTGCTTCCCTTCTTCAGACCCGGCTTGATGGGCACCTCGAGAACCGTATCAGTCGTCGTCCTCTTGCCCGTGTCGTCAAAGGTCTTGCGCTTAATCTTCATCTTCTTCGTCACGCCACGGAACAGCTCCTCCAATGTGAGTGGGAGAGGCCGCTCCACCGTGGTGACCTCGGGCGTCGCCTCCCTCGCCCCCCGCGAGTCGCCGAACCCGCTGCTGCGCATGCGCGATGATCTGCTACCCCGCGGGCCGCCGGCACCGCCAAACGTCGAGAAGATGTCGGAAAAGTCGTCCATGCCACCTGCGCCGCCGCCGCCGCCGCCACCGCCCATACCGCCAGCACCAGAGCGCATGAACTCGGCAAAAACGTCATCCGCCGAGCTGAAGTTGAACCCGTTGCCGCCCCCTCCTGTGCTGAAGCGGAACGTGCGTGCGCCGCCGCCGCCCGGCATGCCTCCTCCTCCAAAGTCGAAGCCACCGGGCATGCCGCCCCCAGCGAAGGGGTTGGCGCCACCGGCATCTGGAGGAGGGGCGCCGCCTCCGCGGAGCAGGAACTCGAGACCGTAGTCATCGTACGTCTTGCGCTTCTCGGGATCGGAAAGGATCTCGTAGGCCTGGGAGCACTCTTTGAACTTCTCGGCGGCGTCTGGGTTATCCTTGTTCTTGTCGGGGTGCCACTTTAGTGCGGATTTCCTATGTACGTGAGATGGTTAGCATACTACGGTCTGATATGGCCGTGTGTGGAGGCAAAGAGGGCGATTGGGCCACGCCGTTGGGCAACGACGGGTAAGAGAGAAGTGAGGGGCAGAAAGGGCGAAAGGACAAAAAACAAGTTTCAGGGAAGGCTATTGTGACTTACCGATAACCCTTTTTGATTTCATCTTGCGTCGCCGTGGGCTTGACGCCCAGCTGATCGTACAGTTTAGTTTCTTTCACCATTGTTCAAGACTGTCGTGTGATTGTTGTGTAAAAGTCGACCAGTCAATTAAACGGAGGGGTAAAAGTAGTGTGGATATCGCAGCGAAACTGTCACTTGTCTTCGCTGATGTTGTGTCTTTCGTGTGTCACTTGGGGTGACTTTAGGTTTGAATCCTTGAATGTTGCTTTGCTTGCGCAGTCAATCGACGTGCGTGTAGGTAGTGAACTGCAAAAGAAAAAAAAAAAAGGTTGGTGGTTTTTTAAAGAAAAGAAGAATTGGAGAGAATGGTTGGATGATGCAGCCGACTGTCTGGGTCTCGGTGCGTGATATGTACCTCGACGTACCTAAGGTAAAGTTGGTCCTTACTGCGCAAGGTAAAAGGCCAAGAAAGACTGGGTCACCGAGGGGAGCCCAGAGCGTCTAGTGGTAGAAAAGCACCCCCGGCCGTCTTCAATGGAAGAAACAGGGCGTGATTGTGGAAGGTTCGGTGCCCGTCTCTCTCAAGAGGAGCCCAGCCCCAAAGAGCAGGGGGGGTGGGAAGGGAGAGCCTAAGAGGACGGGATTGGCGGGAGCAGGAAGGAAGGAGGGGGAGCCTCGACCACCGTTACCCCCGTCCCCTTGTGACTTTGCGACCCAAAACCTGGCGGGGCGTCGAATCGGGTGATCTCACTCGAACTGCCTCGATGGAAGAGCGCAGAAAGGCTGGATGGGGCTCGTCCAGTCGGGCCCTTGGTCTCGAGGTTGTCTGATCACAAAAGTATCCATACAATCCTCTACATCTAGATAGTACTTATCCAGTCTTTAGTAAACGGAGTCCTGAGATAGGTACTTATGCTCATGATATCCTTCATTCCAGACGAGTATCATCAGCCAGGGAGCTCTCTGGGCAGCAGGGAAGCAGTCGCAAATGGACAATGACGAAAATGGCGGGGTCTCTTGCCGTGCGGGAATAGCGGAGTCAAGCTCATGTCGTGGCTCGAGCGCCGCTTCAAGCCACCCCTGTAGCGTCTCTCAATTCTCCTAGTTGAATAAGAAGCTTCGAGAACCTTCTACGCAGTTATCCGACATACGCAGTACAAGATAAGGCATCTACGTCAATGACAATATTGATCGTTGATGAATTAGGTACATAGTAGGTAGGTACGCATGCTTGCATCAAATAATCCGAGCCAATGGGGTATCCAATGATTGATAATCTCATCGCCTATTGCATACATCATCATCATACCATGTCAATGCCGTGTTGCGCTGTGCTGTGCTGCAGAGCCTCCGAGAAGCAAAAGATGCTTGCTGCTTTGCATACCTCTCAAGGCTTTGCCTGTATCGTTATGCCTTTGCAAGTCTCACTGTGTAGACCAAACCTTCCCCCCTGTGATGCTCTCTAGTGCCCAAGCTACTGATGCTCATCGGGAATCTCCATATCCATCATTTTTATCGTCTTTTGCTCATCTCTGGGGTCGTGTGCCGTTCCATAAATCGAGTGTCTAGCCATGAATGGCGATCCGGCCCCGCTTCCGCTGCGTTCCTGCATCTCGGGCCCCTTGGCTGGCTCTTCCACGTCTACGTCTGGCGTCACTGTACGACTAATCTCTGTGACGTCGTCCGTGGGAGCACTGGTCCAAAGGCCGTCCTGTCCCATACCTGGCCCGTTGATGTCGTAACCTCCTCGTGCCTTATCTTGCGTCTCACTAGAGTACATGACCTGGGCTAGACTCGAGTTTTGTGTCTCTGTAGTACTTTGCCTGGTCGACAGATCGGTCATTTCCGTGTCCATGGTGCCGTCTCCGTCGCCGAATGGATCCGTCTCAAAGTCCCCGGCGCGCGAGTTTGTATCGCTGTTGCCCAATGAAGCTCGGTTGGTTGCCATAGAATCGACGCTGCCTGACCGGTATTTCCTCTTGGACGGCGAAATTGGCGACATGTTTGTGTTTCTCAAGTTGGCCACTTCCTCCGTGGTTTCCTGGTTCAATTCTTGCCTGAAAATCTTGTTCTCGGCCTTTGCGAACCGTAATAGGGCGTCTGAAAGCGGTGACACAGGCGTATTGATTGCGTCTTCTGTAGCATACACGAGCAACGGGTTCTTAGTCTCAAAGTAGATTGCGTCAACCACCTGTTGGAAGGTGTATTTCTGTAACAAGTCAGCATCCAAGTGAGTCCCGAAGAGAAACACGCTGCAGCTTCGCGTACCTCGGCCTTTGCGTATTGTTTCGCACTATAAGACAGCCGCCACCACTGATCTACTAAAGACGGCGTCTCATCAATGTCAATGAGGGTCGGCTCGGCTCGCTTGCAGACATATGTCACGTTTTGCTGCGTTGCTATTCCCCTCAAGAGGTACTTCTTGCCAGTGAACGGCTTGCTCAAGCCTGGCTTGTCGGGGTCAGTCAGTATAGTGTTGAGATACTGCTTCCTTTCCTCAAGCCTCTCACGTTCCCACTTGAGTTCTGCTTCCATTATTAGTGGCCGATAAACATGTGGTAAACATTGAGCTCGACGTACTCTGTTGCTTTTCTCTGACTTGAGCAAGCTGCCACTTGCATCTCTGGAGCACCTTTTGCGAGCTCTTGAAAAGCTCCTCCTCGCCTTCAGACAAGACACACGGCACGTCTTCTAGACGAAGGGTACCTTGCTCATCGTCGTCTGACTTTCGCAGCTCTCTGAACCGTCCCAGGCCGTCCAGATAGTTGACGTGGCTCTCATACTCCTTGATTGTCTTCTCCAGCATTTCCTCTTTGTTGTGGACCTTGTCGGTCTTCGGATCAATCCACTTAGTGAGCTCGAACTCCTTGGATTCGGCCTCGTAGAGCATTCTATGCACCCACGCAAGGTGTTCCTGGCAGACCTTTGCCTCTTCCTTCCGGCTCTCTAGATAGCGCTCTGGATACCACACTTCGGGAATGTCAAGCTTATCGGGCGTGCCATCGCCATCGATAACAACTGTCATGACCTCGCCCATGTCGTCGAGAACAACCATTCCGGTATCCGCATTGAGCTCCAGCCACGTCATGACATCGTGCCACACGATCCAGTTCCAAGCTTCGTACAGAGACGTCGTCTTTTCATATTGACTCTTCGTCAACTCAAAGTTCAAAAACGCAAATCTGTGTGGGTCCTGAGTCCTCTCCAAGGTATCTGTAGACATGGGGCATGCTAGGTGCGTCAGGGGTTTGATGACATCGGCATCGGTCTTCTCGACGAGCGTGTCAAAGAACTGTCTCTCGGTAGCGAAGTTGGTTTTGGGAACCAGATCAGCCATGGAATCGACAGAACCGTAGCTTCTCTCAGTCAGGTCCAAAAAAGCCATTAGACGATGAATCTCCTCATGAAAGTCCGGCTTCGTGTCGTCAGCCCACTGGAGGTCGCCTTGGTTCATGGCGGCCAGGACGTGAGGGGCGTAAATCGGTTGACCTTTCCACCATTCGCTGTTGTGGCCATAGCTGGCAGCTTGTTCACCACCCTGCAGTAAGATATTGCGTGCAAGCGGAATCTCATGCAGAATTGTCAACACGGAATCCAGATGGTGCTTAGATGTGCGTGCCGTGGTTCTCTGCACAAGAAACGCCGGGGCGTCATCTTCTCGCTTCCTCGCAGAAGGGGCGGGGTCGTCATCGACTGTCGTTTGGTACGAGCTCGTTGCCGTCGTCACCATAGCCCAGCTATTCGAGTCGTAGTCAGACCTGTTGGCAGGTCCAAAGTGCGGGGCGCCGGCGCTTCCGCCCGTGACGCCGGCTTCCTGAGGTATGTAGTCTGCATCCCGCTGGGAGTCTCGAATGGCCCTGTTGTAATCGTCCTCTTCTTGCGCAGCAGTACTGGGAGCTCCTAATGTCCATGGTCAGCCAAAGCCCCACACAACAGGGAAGGCAGTACCGGAAAGGTCCCCGGTCGTCCAGTCAATCATCCTACCAAGCGGCGATCGGTTGTTTGTTCTCGATGGAGGTCGTGAGGGAGCACCTGCTGAAGGCCCGTAGAAGCCGTTGTCGGGTGGAGGCGTAACGCCTTGTATGACGGCATTGTCGGGGGCCTCGATGTTGAAAGCTGGCCAGCAAGAGTCAGCAACACGATATCTCCAGCTGCTGGAGCGCAGGACCAGACGCACCTATACCCGTGTGGTTCGGCTCCCCGTCACGACTGGCTCCGAATGCTGTGTCGTCCCATGTGTATTTCCTCCGGAACTGGGAGCCCTGTTAGCTGCGATGAAGCGCTCTTTGACCAGGGCACGACATACCACGTCGACTCCATCTATCAAGACCTCTGACGCAAGCTCATCCCGATTGCTGTTGCTCTGTACTCCACGTCAGCCCTTCTGTGCAGCAGGACGAGCATCGCGCTTGTCCAACAGCCGCCGTCATCTCACCTTGAGTGCCGTAATGACGATATTACGGTCTCTGGCGGGGTCAAGGCCCGAGAACTCAAGGAAGTTGTCCACATCCTCAGGCGTGGGTTCAGGCGCCATGTTGTAGAGCCACCCCTCAGACAAGAATATTGTTGTCGAATCGATTCGTTGCGAATGGTTCGATTAAAAGCGACGGTGGTGGAAGGGTCGAGGGTAGTCGCGCATGGCTATCGAGAAAGACGGGCTGGAGTCGTAGGTGACCTGGCGCATGTAGCTTTGCCAGAGAGAGGCTCGGAGGTGTGGGTAGTGCCAAACGGAAAGGACCCGACGTGCTGTAGAGGCGACCCGGTCTAGGCGTGATGCTGCCCGTAAGGATGCGGAAGAAAGGTCGGAAGGCAGCACTCAGTAACAGTACGGGAGAAAGCAGTGCCAGCGGACTCGCAATTCCACTCCGTTCGTCTTGTCGTCAGATGGGGTCAGGACACCTCACGTTCGGTATGGTACCTAAGGGACGTGGAAGTGGCATCGGATGCAAGTACGTAGACCTGTGCTGAGAAGGCCCCATGAGCTGTCTGTCCTGCCGATTGCTCTGGTGGACAGTGCGTCCCAAGGTAGCAGCGGCACAAAGACACTTCCCCACCATCTGCCGTCACCATCACTCTTTACCCTCATAGGCACCTAGCCTTTGGGACACAATCAAGCAAACATGTAAATCGAGCTCTGGGCTCAACTACTTAGAGAAAGGAGAATAGTCGGCAATAGGTCTTTCTTCCTGATGTTACCCATCTACTTCGTAGAAAGTTAGGTAAGACAAGGTCATTGAAAACCCTCATGGATGCTGATGGTGTCAGCGGGGCAAATTTACACTTTAAGCCCCTTACGGCGCTGAAGGATCGGAACGGCGTGCACGTTTACGGCCACTGCCGGCCCAGTCGTCGCGAATGTTGTACCGACGAGCGGCATATGGAAAGTGACCGGAGTTGGTACGTAAAGGTGCGATAGACTGGCCGAGAACGTCAGGGAAAGTCTGCTTATTACCCGCAAAAGGTACGGTATACTTTCTCAGATAATCGAGCTTTGCTAAATTTTCCCACAGTGGCGCACTCTGCAGTTGCTCAGTTGTAAAATCATTGATTGGTCTAAGTGCGGTATCTCATACGCTGTTCTGGCTGCTTGGTTTGCCAATCAGCCACCAAACTACTGAATCCCGCCCCCTTCTGATTTCTCTGCTTTTGCAGAGCCAAATATGAACTCCCGTATCCTTGTGTGGAAGCCCTTCCCAGAAGCCCTCCTCAGACATTGAATGATGCCAAACCCGTAAAAGAAACCAAGACGCCGTGTTAGCCTAAGCAGGCCGTGCTGACAGCCGGTAAAACGCCCGGGGCCGTCGCTATGCATTATCATGCGTGTAGAGGAAGAAAGATATAAGTAATGTGAGAGATGGAAAAGCAGACCACCGCAAACGCCGCCGCCGCCGCCAAGTCAGAGTGCCCGCCGGAAAGTGTTTGCATTTCTTGGTGTCGCAGGTTCATGTTGGAGCAGAAAAGTGTGTGCTGAGTCGATTCCCATGTTCGAGGGTTGGAGTCAAGGCTTATCGTCGTCCGCATCCTCGTCTTCATCGTCCTCGTTGTACTCATCCATGTCGAAGTCGCTATCGCTGCCGCCCAAATCAAAGTCGCCCTCGTCGTCCGTCTCGTTCCAGAAGGCGTCGTCGTCGATGGGCTTCTGAGGCACAGGCTCCAGATCAGCAGATGTGGGGAAGACCACACCCTCGGGAATGTCCTTCTTGGACTTCGCGACCGTATCTTGCGCTCTCTTCTGGTACTCGGCGCGGTTGTCACGGTAGAGAACGCTTGCGTCGACGTTGGCGGGAGAGTTGATCTCAGGGTCGTCCAGAAGGAGCAGGACAGAACGCAAGACCGACTCGACGCCCTGCAGGGGAGACCAACGCTCGCAGGCCTGTTCGCCAGACTGCTCGTCTTCGCCGGGAGTGTGGAGGATGGAGATGCAGAGCTTGCCGTCGGTGTAGATGTTGGGGTGGCAGATATTCTTGTTGAGGAAGCGGAAGGTGGGAGGCTGGTATGGGTAGTCTCGAGGAAACGTCATTTCGGCCTAGAAAAATTCAGTAAGCCGTGTGCTTTTACAGTGTATTTGGGGGAGGGAAGATCAAACAAACCTTGAGGTAGCCTCCGTTGAAGGCGCTGTCAGGGTTGACGACCATGAGGCCAAGCTTCCAGTTCAACACATTCCGCTCGTCGACATCAATGTGAACCCATTTCTCCTTCTGCAGGGTTTGATATTCACTCATCAATCGCTTCTGCGCCATGATGTTGGAGTATTTGTAACGGTGAGGTGGCGGTGATTAGTATGCGGGAAAGAACCACTTAGTCGTGAGGGAGTGGGATGAAGTTGGAGCGATGAGATCGATTTGTCGCAGAGAAGAAGATGTCGGAATTTGATACGATGCAAGTATGCAATTGTGTGCACGAGCAGCAGTAGAAAAAGAAGGGCACTCGTGTGGGCAGACAGTGAAGAAGGCGCACCGCAAGTTCTCACAAGAGGCGTGTGACCAGAGAAAGGAAGCGACGATGAGGTGGGATGGAGGGTATGGAGGGGCGAAAGGGGGGATGACTCGATAAACCACCGACCTGACTCGGAGTGGGCGGCAGGCGATAAGATAAAGGGAGACGGGAGGACCGACCCGTACGTATGAAGACCTGGGGCTATTTGGTGGGTGGTGGGATTCGGGTGTGTAAGAGTATGAGACGGGGAATGGAGCGGCGGTAAAGGCCTGGTCCAGGGAGAGAGATTTTATGCTGTGTGCGATATGAGAGAAAAAGAAGAGGGCATCCGGGGACAAAGCCGAACAACGGGAAGTCGCGATGCAAAGAAATAGTCTCGAATTTAGAAAGCAGCAATTCCAGCCAGACTCTGAGATGGTCCCTTTGCGATTTATCAAGGTTCCCTGCCATGAGGTACTCCGCAAGGTTAGTAGACCGGAAACTGCCCTGCCTGGACGATTTGGGATACCATGGGACCAGGGACCACCCGAGATGGCTAGACTCCTCAAGGAGGTCACGCAGTGTCTCGGATCCGTGGCCAGCTTCAGAGCCGTCGTCTGTCCTTGGCCCTAGCAGTACCAGCACCCTACCTTGCGGAGTAAGTACTCCTTGTCTGCCGCTGTCGGGTGCCTCTGCTTCTGGCCCTTGTCTTATTGTCCTCGGACATGCGAGGACCTTGCGAAGTATTCGCACAACAATGTAAAGGTCACTTCACCAGTGCAAGCATCAGTCAGCCAGCCAAATATACCGCCACCAACAAACCTTTCGCAATGGAAAATCTTTTGTCTGCTCTGCCATCAGTATTGCTGTGTCATCTTTGTGTATGTTTACTCGAACTCGCCTCCGCCACCTCCAGTCTTCAACTCAAAGCCAACAACACACTCTGACACTGCAAAGGGGTGGTGGTCCGGACTCGCCATGCACCTCACAGGCACTGCCAGGTTTCTCTTTGTTGTCTGTGCATTTCAGCCTGTCACCACATCAGGTACCAGCACAGCACTTACACCGCATGATTCCCTCGAGTATCCCATCTACCTTGGCTACTGTTTCCAAAGACTGCCCGAGATGACTAAGGACACTAATACGGATAAAAGTTGCAAATAATATAAGGTCCATCATAGTATCCATCCTCTATAATATGCCATCAAGGTATCCGTACAAGTTGGAAATCAACTGATCGAACGCTCCCAAATACTTCCGTTTCGGTACCTGACCGGGAGACTCTGTCCTCGCATAACGACCCGGCACGTAAATCCTTATTACCTACTTTACATACATGGTATGTCGCAAAAAAGGCGTCACAGTAGTGTAGGTAAACCAAGTCGAACCCCAGATAAACTCAATGCTCCTTGGTCCGATCGTCCCGACCCAGCCATGCAAACTCGCAGAAACCCACGTCACAAGTCACCGCCCCGGCATCGGACCCCTGCTTTCCCGTTCATTGTTCTGGTTTTGGCACCACCGCTGTCAACCGCCACAACCTACACCAAGGGATTGTTCTTGCAGACTCGACCGAAATTGGTGCTTCGAGTACGAACTCTCGGTAGAAATGGTGAAGAAAACCGATAAAAGACCTTGGAAAGGAATCAGGGACAAAATAATTGAGCTTCCAGGGATTCTTCATTTCTTTATTTCTCTGTGTCTTGCGGCAGCAAGTTACAAGCTCACCCCATCTACCTTACCCATCTGACTATGCTCCCAAATCATAGTAGATGCAATTCCCTGTCCGGAAGTTGTATAAAAACGCGTGCCGGCTGCCGCCGCTACCGCTCTTCTTCTCCCACGCCCACTTCCAATTCAGCAACATGTCGTGAATCTCCCTCACGTACTTCTTCTCCGCCGTCGTGACGCTGTGCTCCACCCGCCGCCAGCTCTCCCCGTCCGAAAGGCACGTGTCCCGGATGAGGTCCATCACCTGATCCGTCGTCTCGATGGCCAGGATCGGCCCGTCGAGGAACGACCGCACCAGGCTCGCCGCGCTCACCTGCGCCTGCTCCACCACCGTCCTGCGATTGAACTTTTTGCTCCGCGTCCCCGCCACCAGCACCCGCACGTCCTGCTCCTGGTGGTGGTACGTCTCCATCGTCGCGTTGGTCTCGGCCTGCTGCCCGCTGCCACCGGCCCGCGATTTGACCATCGCCGCCGACTTGGACTCCTTGGAGTCCCGCTCCCGGATCTCGGCGCGCAGCCATGAGAGAAGCTGCGCCATGGGTATGTCGACGTCCGGCGTGTCCTTCTTGTCCATGGTCTTGACCTTGAGGATGGCGTCTTGCTTGATGATGATGACCCAGGAGTAGCCCTCGTCGCGGTTGCGAGAGAGCAAGTCTTCTGGGGACCGCGCATCTCTCGCGAGCTCGGCGCTGATGTTGTGCGACCACAGAGTCTGCAGGATCTCTATGCCCGTAGACCGCAGGACGGCAGCGTCGAAGCTGGCCACGAGGGCATCGCACTGTGACTTGTTGTGAGCAGCCAGACCAACCAGGAGGGAAAACGATGACTTACTCTCTTCGTGCTGCTAAACATGTTGTGACCCTCTTCTTCCGACTTTTTGAGGAATGCTTTTCCGCTCGTTTTTGGGGCCCTCGAAAGCTTCTCCCACGACAGGTTAAATCCCACCGCGTGGCGCTCTTCGTAATGGCTGCCAATCCTAGGACGATTCTCCCTGATGAGGCTGTCGTATCTGCCACCCGCGGCAAACACATCCTTCATCTTCTTGTCGTAGAGGCAGGAGAATAGAGTGCCGCCGGTATAGAAGCTTTCTTTCAGACTGTTCAACGGCGTGACATAGATCTTGCTTGTGACTCCAAGTCGCTTGGCATACTCCGAGACCTCTCTTAGGTGGGCTAAAGTCGACGAGGCTCGCTGATACATGTCAGTGCCTTCAAATAGTGTCTTGAGCTTTGAGAAGGCCTTGGACGGCGTATCTGAATCCTGTTAGTATGTGCCTCCAAGTAATAGAAATGGAAGCCGACAAACCTCGAAAGTCAAATCGTTGCAACTCATCGACACTGGTTGCCGAAAGGCCTACGAGGGGAGAACGTAGCTGGGCTCTGATCTTCTGCCAGGACCAGTGATGAATATTGAGCTTGCTGAGAACATCTGCCACAGCCCTTCGGGAGCCATGCTCGACGCGACAATAGTCAAAGATTAGTTGCAGCAAGTCGGAATGTCCTAGATGAAAACACATCTGGCTCGTAGATAGTGATGGAAACGTGACAATGATTTCGTCGAGCACTTTGAGAACCTCGGCCTCCTTCAGTGCCATGTCAAGGGTGGTGGTCGTGACAATGTCAAAGTCAACTTCGCCCAGCATATAGGGTTGCCCGGTATCACCCTTATCACGAAAAATATTGCCAAAAGTGAAAGTGCGCTGGACGCCCGGAGTCCCGCTGGCTTTGGCAAGCATTCTTGCGTGGCCCATTGTGAGATCAAACGGCAGCTGCAAAACGGTACCATTCGAGTCCAGGAGTCTCATGACGTTCTCTGCATAGTGGGATGACCGCGGGTAGAGGCAAGTGCGCTGACATTCCAGAGCTCCGTGTCGGCGAAATATGGAAATCAGCGTTTCCTTGACGATGCTCTGGTTGAGCAGGTCTGCCTGGCTGGGACTCGCCTCATGCATGTCCCAAGCGTAATCTTTAGCTTGCTCCAGGGGCCGTGAGAAAAGCGTCGAAAGCATCTTCTTGTAGTAAGGCGAGCTGGGGTCGGCTAGACCAGCCAACGTTCGTCTGATGGTCTCGCTTTCCATTTGCACCGGAAGCTTACCGCTTTGCAGCAATTCTGCGCTCGATGGCCTTTCTTTGGGATTGTGGGTGATGAGAGACAGGACGATATCCGTCTGTATCTTTTCGGCAGGCTTGAAATCCACAGGGAGCTCGGGACTTGGTCGCCGGAGCTTCTCGAGAACTTCTGCTCTTTGCATGCCCAACATCGGGGGATAACACATCTCGAAGAAAATGATGCCCAGAGAGTACATCTGAATAGTGTCAGCGACACGATAACCAAATCAAAACAACATAGTTTGCGCTAGAGACTTACATCCACTTTCGAGCTGTACATCCCGCTAGACCCGGAGCGCACTTCCGGCGCAGCATACGACGTAGTCCCGATACTCCTGGTAATATCGTCCGACTCCATGGCGTTAGGAAGAGCCCTATCGACCGCAAACTGACCGCTAGTGGCCAATCCAAAGTCTCCGATCTTGACATTATCCGTCCCGTCACTGCTGTGAGCAATGAAGATATTTTCAGGTTTGAGATCTCGATGGACGATACTTAGACCGTGGATATGTGCCAGACCTTCGAGAACCTGACGGAAAAGACGCCATATTTCCGGCGTGTTTTGGTACAGCTTTCGAGTGATCAGATCACGTAACGTCTATTGCTGTCAGTCTCGCCGATGGTTTCGTAAGAGTGAATTCTGTGTGGTATGAACACTCACCCTCTTTTCGCAGTACTCCATGGAAATGTACAACACGGTTCGGAAAGATCGCTGGGGCTTGATTCTTCTCTGAATTTCCCTGCTCCTGGGGCCGTTCCCGACAGCCTGGCTGCTGTCGTCGTCATCTGAATCAGTTTCTTCCTCAGAGCCTTCTTCATCGTCTTCCTCATCTTCTTCAGATTCTTCCTCGGCGTCCGAATCATCGTAGCCAAATTCCACCTGGGGATAGCCACTCGAAGACATAAAATCCAGGCCGCCGGTGCTGGTTGCAAAGTGAATCGCCGGGTCCTGTGAAATGGTATCGCGAGAGTCTTCCGTGTTCAGA